CATGCTCTGATACTGTGTAGAGTGCAACCTCACAGGATTGAACACAGTCCCTCCTCGCATTTGTCTTTGTCCTCCTCTCGAGTAGCCACACACTGCTCGCACCTCTCCTTATACTCGCCTCTGCACTACGCTTCTTCATCCTCGACGCGCCGACACTGCTTCTCTCACTCCCTGGTCCCTCGCTCGCACGCTTCTCCATTGTGCCTCTCAATAACCCCGGCACGACCCGCCCTTGCGCTTCCCAAATCGACGCCTTGCTCTCTCTCTCCACTCTTCCTTGACCTTGCCTCTCCTCCTCACGCTACCGCTCTTTATCCCTCGCTCACTTTTTTCGTTGTTGTCGTTGAACAACGCCGACACAACCCGCGCTTGCGCTTCCTCAACTTCTTCGATGCAGACCCTGTCTCTTCTCACGCTATCGTTCCCTTGTCCCTCGCTTGCTCCTCTCGCTCTCGCTCTCACAAAGCCAGCCCCACCGTGCGGAGTGTAACCTCACAGGACTGAGCACAGTCACTCGATTCGCCCAACACTCGCCTCCACCCCTACGCTTCACGGCTACGCCTTCGCTTCCACCCCGCCTCGACCGCTCGCCCTTATGCTTCCTCGGACTTGGCGCGCTCCCTGCCTCCTTTGACTCTCCCCCTTCCTTTCCTCTTGCGCTTCCGTTCCTCTACGTCTACGCTGCTGTTGTTAGTCTTGGTCCAAGTCGCATCACCGAGCCCGTCCCCAAACTCCCGGCTGGGTGAATCATCTGAGCGCGTTCAGCTACCTTCACCTGCTCTCTCCCGCTTTCTTGCCCCCCGTTCTTACGCTTCCCTTCGCTTCCCTATCTCACGCTTCCTCAATCTGGTTCTTTACTCTCACGCCGGACCCCACCTCTACTGGAGAGTATCATTTGTTTTGTTGCGCCTTTACTTTTGCTTCTGGATCTCGTCACCTGCTCTTGTGCTTACCCAGTACTAACGCTACCTTTCCTGACTCTTGCCTAGGCTTCCCCTCAACGCCTCAAGCTGCTGCTGATAATCGTCGCCACAGTCGCCCATACGCTGCCCCCAGCACTGCAGCTGCATTAAGATCGAGCCTGTTCTTGTTTTCACTGTCCCTGTCTACCAGATACTAGTCCGTTTCACTTCCTTGTCATATTTGAATAATAGCAAATATAATTATAATGATAATATACTCCCCAGTAGTGTAGGCGCGCTTGCCTTGCTGCTCGCTTTGTCCTTATAGAATCAAACCTTCCGTTGAAACCCCCACGGACTCGTCGGCCCACATCTATGCTGGCTACTCACTGGTCTTCTGTACTTCTGCTTGCCCAACGCTGGCTCTGCTCTACTCGGTCCCGTGTTGTTTGTCGCGCCTTCTCTTAGTTATCTGTTACCTGCCCTTGCGCTCACCTGTGTAGTATCTGTGCTTGGTTTTGCTGTCCGCGTTTGTGCTCTTCCATTTTCTTTCTCTCTGTCCTTGATTTTCTTCGTCGCTTGCTGCTATAGTGCTCAGAATTGCTGGTTGGGCGATGCAGTCTCCCAGCTACCGCCTGAGCCGCACTATCACGATCTTTGAGGCCTACTTGCGAGATCTCCCGGCCGAGTTTCAGTTCTTAGTAAGAGTCAACAATCTGCTTATGTAAATACTTTGGAGCGTATTAAAGGTTTGTAAAATAGCAGCTCGAGTCCACCACAATATTTTAGCATTGCTGCCTCCTCTTCATTTCCTACTTCCCCACGCTTTTCTTTATCTTTCTCAACTGCTGCCCTCACACTTCCTCGACGTTCACACGCTTCTCTCCCACTCTCATTCTCTCACTCTCCCTCTCCCTCTCACGCTTTCTACGCCTCCTTTGAGAAGAGTGCAACCTTACAAGACTCAACACACCCGCCGCCTTGCTCTCTGTCCTGCTCTTGCGCTTTCCCCACACCTTTCCGGTCTCCTCCTTACACTCCCATCTACGTCTGTGCCTCTTCGACTTCGACGCCGACACTGCTTCGCTCACTTCCCAACAACCTCTGCACGACCCGCCCTTGCGCTTCCTCAATCGCTTCGATGCCGACCCTGTCTCGTCACTCTCCCTCGACCTCGACCTTGCCTCTCCTCACGCTACCGCTCCCTTGACCTTCGCTTGCTTTACTCGCTCCTGCTCTTGCTCTCACTCTCCCCACGCCACCGTCCGGAGTGCAACCTCACTCACAGTACTGAACACGGTCACTCGCCTTTGTCTGCCCCGCCCTTGCGCTTACCCAACTCTCGCCTCTATACCTACGCTTCTATCCCCGTCTCACTCCACCCCCCTGACGCGCTCCCTGCCTTCTCTCACTCTCCTCCTTTCTTGCCTCTTACGCTTCCGTTCTCCGACGTCTACCGCCGTTGTCTGTCTCAGCTCACATCACTGAACCCATCCACAAACTCCGGCCGCGTCGCCCTGATCGCGCTTAACTACTTCATTGCACTCTCCCACCTTCTTTGCCCCTCGTTCTTACGCTTCCGTTCTCCTACCTCTCTTACGCTTCTTCAAACTGGCTCGTCGCTCTTACGCCAAACCCCACCTCTACGTGAGATTATATTTTGTTCTTTGTTTTGTCGCGCCTTTACTTTTGTTTCTGGGTCTCGTCCCTGCTCTTCTGCTCATCCAATACTAACGCTGCCTATCATTACTCTTGCCTACGCTTTCCCTCGACGCCTCAAACTGCTGATCATCATCATCATCATCATCATCATCATCATTTGCCACAGTCGCCCATACGCTCCCTCAGCACTGCAGCTGCGTTAAGATCGAGTCTGTTCTTGTTCTCACTGTCCCTGTCCCTGTCCCCTAGATACGAGTCCTTTTAACTTCCTTGTTATATTTCGGATAATAATAAATATAATGATATTGATGATATACATATACTCCCCAATAGCGTGGGCGAGCTTGCATTGCTACTCGATTTGCCTTTATAGAAACCTGCCTTTTATTTAAACCCCCACTGGCGCGTCGGCCTACTCCTGTGCTGGCTACTCACTCCTCTCCTGAAATTATGCTCAACGCTTGTGTGCTCCAACTACTCACTGATCTGCCGAATGCTTTCGCTTTCGAGGTACTCCTCATTCTTTCCATTGTTTCATGCTCGCTTGTCTTGCTCTTTGCTCTCGTCGCTGCTATTTGCCTACTTTTCATTCCACACACTTCACACTTTGTTCAAGGCCAGTTCCTCACACTACCCTTCCTTATCTCAGCGCTTGCACTTCCTGGCCTTCTCACTTCACTTCAACGTTCCGCGCCGATTCCCTGACCAGTCCTTTCAAGTGATCGTCATCTTTTTTACAGCCGCGTCCACGTGTGACTGGCTTTCACACAGTCTCAGACCAAGTGCGCGCACTCTCCCAACACAAGAGTATTCCGAACTCGTCAAACGCATAGAACTGAACGCTCTTCAACCGAGCCGCCTCAACGCCCAACTGCACTGCTTTGTTTTCTTTGTACTATATTTCTGTACCCGTGGTCTCCTTCTCTTACTGTTGTTTCATGTTTGGCTCTCTTTTGGTTCTATATTCTCTTCCTTGTTTGCGCTTCCTTGACGCTGATACTGACGCTGCCCACCTTGACTACCCCCCCAAAGCTCGTGTGCGCATTATTCAATCCTTACTGCGCTTACTACACGCTACGCAACAAAGCCCATCAAGCACGGTATCTTACCGTTACACTTAAGCGTCCTTGGTCCTGTCTGTCAACTACACGCTCTTTATAACGTCGCTGAGCTCCGGCTGTTATTTGCCTTGCAGATTTCCTTCCTCGCGTTTCACCTGTTCTCACTTGTTATTTGTCGCGCACTTACTTTTGTTTCTTGTCTTCTGTACATTTCGCTTACCCAACGCTGGCTCTGCTCTGCTCCCTTCCGTGTTATTTGTTGCGCATTCACCCTTGTCATATGTTTTCTGCCTTTAAGCTTACTCAGTGCGCTGATACTTCCTCTCCTTACTTTCGATTCTGTTCTGACGCTTCCAAGTCCGTCCAACTCCTCACGCTTTCTTGCTATTGACTGGTGAACTCTTCTTAGACGTGTCAGGCGCGTTCAATGGCACGCTCGTATTCTCAACCAAGCCTCCTACGCGCGCTACTTGGCCCCTCAGCTTTAACTTGTCCGTCGTTCCCTGCTGCTCAGAGTAAACCTCAACAGCCGGTCTCCGTAGGTTCGTCGAGCTCGCTCGTCAAAGTTTCCATGTCCTGTAGGCCGCTCTTACGCGTCGTCGACGTTGATGCTAATACTGCATTTCCTCTTCGCCTCACTTAAGCTCAAGGGTTAAGCTTAAGTGTTGTCTCCTCCCAGGCCCCTGTTCCCCTTAGTCTACGCTTTCGATCCTAATATCATAATATCAAACACAAACACAAACACAAACTCCCGGATGAGTCCCACATTACGAATCAAGTTGGAGACCACTTGCCACACCGCTTGGGCGCGTCAAGTAGTTTCTTCTGCTATTGGTTGCTAGTCGAGCTTCTGTTTCCGCTTGTTGTCCTCCGCCCTCGCGCTTGCCCGACGCCCGACGCCTTGCGACGCTTACCTACCTACGTTCACTCTGTGCTTACCTGACGCTTACCTTACATTACGTCTTCTTGCATTCGCTTCTACGCCTAAACCCTTCGGTGAGCGTTAGTTTCTACAAGCTGCTCCCCGCAGATTTCGAGAATAAAGAGAGTAGCAAAGCTTGATGATGATGATGATGATGATGATGATGATGATGATGATGGCGACGATGATGATGATGATTGATAAGGTAAATCATCTATGTCTTAAGTCCGTTGCAACAACCAAGTTATGATAGTAGTTGCAAAGCTTATGGGAGTGGTGTAACAATGTTTACCATAATAAGGTACAATGATATATATTCAATACAAAACAGCGATCATACAAATACCAAGAGCCTTCACATATACCTACGCCACGCCGACAGCAGATGATAGTGAGACCGACAGGATAATCGAGATACACAGACAGATGAAACAGATAAACAGGTGAGCGCGCGGGAAATTATAAGGATCAGACAGGTCGACAAAAGCCTTAGATGACGCTCATTGCAAGCATCCATGTGATGGTATCCTCCAAAGCCATTCCCATGATTACTACTCGTGACTTCCGCAGAATCGAGTCAGCTCGATGGGCAGCGTCTGTGATCTCCATCGCTAGAAGACAAGCATCGCCGTCGTTTCACTGGGCGGGCGCGGGTCTGCATCAATGATTCTTTCTCACACAAAAAAATAAAGAGTAATCCGAGCCGTTACTTAGCAGAGACCAATGATATAAGCAGTCGACGACGGCTGTACAGCAGGAACGACGGTGCAGACAGACAGTAACGTTAAGTTCGTTCCAGGATAGAATATGCTGCGGGAGGGGAACAGCTAAATGAACACATGTAAGTCAGTAAAGCTCAATAGAAGGAGCGAGTCATCATAGCAACGTTATACATACATTGGCCGTTATACAGCAAAGCCTCGAGATTCAGCGGCTGAAAAGCTTTCATAAAAGGCATAATCCTAGGCAGTTAAGAACAGAAACCCGGACTCGATCCTGCGGTTCATCCTTTGCCCCACTGGTTTCTAATGTTGCGTTTGCCAATATGAGAGACGAGGTTGTCGTACGCAGCGTTTGAGCGCTAAAAGAGCACCCTGTCGTATGAAATTTGTTGATGTTTTCTTTCCATTAGGACTCGTGGTCGTAGTGTCGTCGCGATCGCGGGGCGGGTGCCATTCGTTGCCGTCAAGCTCTCGTCCGTCAAGTTCTTTTGCAATGGTGACAGCGTGTGCATGTGCGTCAAATTCAGTCGGCTATCGTGCTTCGGGCACGCAGCATCATGTGGCAATGCACGAGAAGAACGTGTTTGCTTTTTGCCGACGGCCATTGTACGGAATAGGTGCACGGGGAGGGCAGTCATTGAGGTGAGGAAGTAGTCGGAGGTGAGAAAAGAAGGGAGGAGAGATAGAGTGGGAGCGAGCAAAACTTGAATGTCGGCTACTTGTGCCTCTCCTGTATTCAGCTGAGCTTTGTAGAAACGGCTGCAAATTCTTGAAGAAAGGATATGCTGCGACGAGACAGCTAGATGAACGAGGGACGGTCAGAGCCCAATAAAAGAAACAAAGGATCATAGAAGGGTTATACATACGCTGGCTGTTATACAGCGAAGCCTCGATGACCAGTGATCGCAGATCTCTACCAGAAGGCACAATCACAGAAAGCCAAAAACACAAACGCAGACTCGATCCTGCGGTTCATCCATTGCCTAGCTGATCCTTATCGTAGTTCTTGCCTATACGAGAGGCGAAATTGTCGTATGCGGCTTTTGAACGCATCATGTTTATGCGCGTCGGAAGAGGTCGGAAAAGAAGCATCATGTCGGTAATATGAAACTCATTGATGTGCTCCTTCCATTGTGATTGGCTGTTGTGGTGTTCGTCGCGATCGCAGGGTTGGTGACTTCCGCCGTCTCTCTCGGCGATCAGGTTGTTTTGCGATGAGGAGAACGAGTGCATGTGTGTCGGATTCGGTCGACTATCGGGCATGGGGCGAGCACAGCACCAATACACTTATGGCGCGGACGAGTCCGAAGAAGCAGAAACGAGGAATAAGCCTTTCGACTAATAGATAACGACGGCTCATATCTGACACCCTAACAAGTGATACATACAACATATGTTTTGGTCAGGGTTGCACAGTTTGTGGACAACGACAGTGGACAAGAGATCATAATGATGAAGACCCGAAGATAATTGAAATTGAGGTGGTTGGTTGTGGGAAAGGGTAAAAAATCTATTCTGCCCGCAGTTGCTTTTTGAACGGATTTATGCGCTTTGAGTCTATCGAATGCTGCTTTATATCAGCTGCTTCTATATGACTGTTGTGTACGTCGTTGCTGAATCATCCTACATCTATATGTTAGTATATATTATTTAACGTGGTGAATGTGACTCCTCTTGGAGCTGAATAGCGTTAGTTTGCAGTCATATGGAATCAATCATGTTGATTTACCCACGCCCACTTGTTTTGTTTACTCAAGCAGCAGCCAGAACTTGACACGTTACTAGATTATTCTATTGACAATTGCAGCCGCAGCATGAACTGTCTAAAGTTTTACCATCAATCTACGGTATACTCTTTTTCTGCCGCATCCGCTACTCCACAGATTTGAATATGGCGCAAAGAGGTGGCTATCATATCAAAACCTCATTGCTGTTGTAATTTAGTAACCACAAAGATGATCGCAGAAGAACGGGTTGACACTGCTGAATTCGTTTGTATTCTCCGCCAATTGACGGGCCATGACGCGTCAGAACGTCAGTCGAAAAATTGATAGGTCCGATAAGCATATCGATTAAGATAATCTATTCGTTTCCACGCTGTGGCTTAGGGTAAACTGGGTGGAGGAGCTCATCCATGAAATGAAGATGAACTTTGTCTCACCAGACTCTACTCCTTTGTATTAGTGACGGCGGCTTCTGATAAACTTCCTCGCTGTTCTATATAATAGGATAAGTATTATATTATAAAGTAAACGGGAGTTATACACCTATTGAGCTTAATAGCATGATGTCGATTTCTGGAGGAGGCTCGCTGTGGTCGGCAAGTCGCTATAACGCTTATTCCCATAGCCAGATCAAGCAAGCTTAACATGTACGTCCATATGCATCTTTTCAGCAACTCGTCGCAGCGCGCTAGAGACAATTTTCGTACTTTTCGGCATACAGTTGCGCTTCATGTTCCTATTGGCGAGTCGAATACTCAGCTCTGCGTGTTAAGTACATCTAGCGCGGGTGGCTGTCAAAAAGTTCAAAAAGTATGCTAGCAGCGCTCCCTGATAAGCAGCGTCCGGATGTTATTAGGCAGACTTCCGATGCCAAATCATCAGATCAAGTTAGTTTCAAGAGAAGGAAAGCTTAGTGAATCACTCCACAGTAGGCCCTTCCTTCCCTATATGATTTTATGCATTGCTTTGATGAAAAGAACGTATTTATTATTAAAGCCACAGCTAAGTTGAACACCATGAATAAAGAAACTCCAAGCTTTAGCCATTTTACTCCCGGCCCATGCCACTGGAACCCGTTTCCTCAAAGTTCTTCTTCTCATTCTCTTGCTTTGCGAGCAGTTTCCTCTCCTTCTGTAACTGCAAGCTGTAACGCACTGACGGCAACCCAAAACCTTTCTTGAATACCGACTTGATGTCCTCGAGAGTCATACCAGCAACCTCTGGATAGCACAGAATAACGCAGATATATCCGATGAAGTTCAGAGCAGCGTAAAATCCAAAGGTGCCGGATGGGGTTATGTTTTCCATCATCGACAGATAGGTAGACGAGACGACGATGTTGCTACCCCAACACGTCAATGTAAGCATCATGGTGCCGAGAGAACGAACCTCCATCGGGAAGAGCTCATTCCCGTGCCAAGGAACGTTGCCGAGTGCAGAAGCGTAAAATCCAATGAACAGAATGATACAGACAAGCACAAGGATACCGGCCCAGGTTAATCCCTCGTCGGTGACCTTGAGATCGTCGCTAATCGGAATAAAGTGAATCGCGACTGCTGCAACGACGAGAGAGACTGACGTTCCCCACATGGTGTAGATAAGGAATTTTCTGCGCCCAACCTGATCAAGGTATCGTAGTGCAGCAAGACCGAATGCAAAGTTGGCTGCCGTAACCACGATAGAGACGGCAATGGAGTTTTTGAAGCCACAAAGCGCAAACAAAGTAGGAGCATAGTAAATCAGGGTATTAGAACCCGCGAATTGCTGGATGCCCATAAGTCCGCAAGCGACCACCAGCGCAGCAAGGTTCGCAGGGTCCTTGTAAAGCAGTCGAAGCTGGTCCCTGAAGCTCAGCTCCGAAAGGCGCTCCTCGACTTTGAACTGGTGGTGGATATTGGCGACTTTTCTGGTGACGTCTTCGGCCGAAGCATGAATATAGATTTTTGCAGTGACTCGTTCAGCCTCGGCGATCATGTTTTTGCGGATCAAGTATCTCGGAGTCTCGGGAACGACGAAGCAAAAACCAAGTAAAATCAACGAAGGAACTGCGCCAACGCCAATCGAATATCTCCATCCATTGGACACATTCTCAAAGATGATGTTGAGAACATTAGCAAGGACCTGGCCAAGAGTGATCGCAAGAGCATCCAAAGTGACCATTCGGCCGCGAAGTTTTGCGGGTGAAATCTCGCCAATATAGATAGGGGCCACCATAGCGGCTTCACCAATCCCAAGACCAACGACGAGTCTGCCAACGGTCATCTGCGCGAGCGAGTATGAGCTTGCCTGGATCACACTTCCGGCGGTAAAGAAGATTGCGCCCAGACCAATGACAAATCGCCTTCCAAATCTGTCGAGCATGAGGCCTGCGCATAAAGCACCAATGAAGGCCCCTCCCGAAGTGATAGATGTAAGGAGCTCCTGCTGATTTGAAGAGAGGGTATGGCCGAGGTCGGTACCGACCATAAGCAGTACACCAGAGATGATAGAGAGATCGTAGCCAAAAAGCAGACCACCGACTGCGGCAGAGCCAGTGATAAGCCAGATGTAGATGCCTCCGTACTTGTCTTCGATGGGGTCCATGATCTCTTGGTCAGGACGAGTAGGCTCGAGGTCTTCGACGAAAGTCTCAGAAGTCTTCTCGGCCAAAGAGATGGCAGCGGGCGTCGACATTGTTGTGATGAGAAGGCAAGGCTGAGTGAGGACGGAGGGCTGGATCGGTAGGTGCGCGAGGAGGGTGGTGAGGGAAGTGAAGAGAGGGAGGGTCAGTAAAGAAGAAAGAAAAAGGGAAAGAGAAAAAGGAAGGAGGGGGGTATGACTGGGCTTATAAACTCACATAACAGGTGGGTACCATGTACAGATGGAGGAGGGGTATAGAAACTAAGGAACCCGAGGAAAATCAAAGAACGGGCTTGGTCGGAGGGGTAGCGGGGAGCGGCGACTACGCAGCCCATCGTCATGTAAACTATAAACTAACCGCGCTCGTTAAAACAGAGAACACCCCCATCGACAGCCGACTCTATCTTCGATCATCGGTAGACTCTTCGCTGCTTGACAATGGAGACCATAGCTGCCTAGAACCTTGTGATTAACCTGAAATATCAAACGACGCTTCAAAGCGATAGCACGGCAATCACCTTTCCTCTGCACCCGACTGTCCCATATATTATCTCCAGGGCTTCCGTCGGAATCAGAGATCGCACACAGCCGCTGGGCACCAGTAGGACCATCCGGCGGGAAAGCATGGCGATCGATCGAGCGTGGGAAGGAACCAAAACGGGGCATCCAGTAGCCGGCGCCTGTGTCTGGTGATTCTCCGTCTTTCTCCCAGCTGATGCTGGATCCGCAGTTAATTCTTTGCGATGTTAGGGTTTTGACTCTGTCTTCCCCGCATTTTTCGTCATGTCAACCTCCCCGCCGCTCGGAATCCGGGGAAATCGACGGCCAGTCGCGAATCGACGGCTATTCGCTTTGTATTCTAGATATATTATGTATAGTTGACCAACCACCAGACTATTTATCCACCAGGAAGCTACTGCGCATATAATTTGTCGGAAACCTCTTTGGTGTATTCCGGTGGATGTCTCTTTTAGTACAGCGGGGCACCTGAATATATGTGCGCCTCTGTCTTATGATCTTCATAACGATACTCCACTGTAATACCACATGGGTTTTGAAGCTCTACGCTGCATGTGAACGCTGATTCAAGTAACGGCGACTACTCTGTTGTTAAGCTCAATATACTTTGCACAGGCTTTCATCAGTGTCACTCTTCTCATATAGAGCTGCCCGTTGTGGCTCGAGTCCTTTCGTGGCGGTTTGACAATCCTATTGTCCTCAAGCAGTCTGCTCACACCAGCTACTAGACCGGCGTTACGTAATTTTGTCCTCTTCGAGAGTTGACTGCATCTGATTATGGTGAACTAAGATATGATTCAGCGCTGATCACTGATGAATGCAAAACAGATTAGTGGACTCGTGTAGGTCTAATATATTGAAGCGTCTGCTGGGTTATGTATGGATGGTCGTGAAGACAGAAGCAACAAAGGCATTGTTGTGCACTGCTATACTATTTTTATTTCCTCTACTGTTTTAAGCCATAACTGCCAATACATTGTGCACATAAATAATATTCATAGTAAAAAACACCAAGCTCCCAATTGCCGTTCATGCCTGACTCTCACTTTCCAACTCCTTCGCTTTTTCATTCGCTGCATCCATCGTTTGCTGACGCTCCTTGTTGGCAGCGTTGCGCTCCTTCTGAAGCTGCATACTATAAGTGACACTCTTTGGACCAAATCCACGACGGAAAACGCCCTTGATCTCCTCAAGAGTCAAGCCCGAGACCTCAGGATAACACAAAATCACAACGATCCAGCTGATGACATTGATACCGGCATAGAAACCAAATGTTCCAGAGGGAGTAAGCGTTTTCATCATCGAAAGATAAGTCGAGGATACAACGATGTTGCTTCCCCAGCATGTAAGAGTGACCATCATAGTTCCAAGAGAGCGGACCTCCATAGGGAAAAGCTCGTTTCCAAGCCATGCGATGTTGCCCAGAGCCGAAGAATAGAACGCGATAAACAAAATGATGCAGACCAAGACGACCACACCCGCCCATGTCATATCTGCGTTTGTGACAGTCAAATCAGAATTGATCGGAATGAAATGAATAGCGACGGCGGCGACGACAAGGGCAATTGGCATTCCCCACATGGTGTAGATGAGAAATCGGCGACGGCCAACTGCATCAAGATAACGAAGGGAGAAGAGACCGAAGAGGAAGTTCGCACCGGTGACAACGATAGAGACGGCGATGGCGTTCTTGAAGCCGCAGAGAGCAAAGAGGGTGGGTGCGTAGTAGATCAGCGTGTTTGAGCCGGCAAACTGCTGGATACCCATCAGACCACAGGCGACGAGGAGAGCAGCGACGTTGGCACTGTCATGGTAAAGAGTGTGCAGCTGCTGGCGGAGAGTCATGTCCAGCAATTCGGCCTCAAGCTCAAACTGTTGACGGATAAGTTCAGACTTTGTGGCAATCTCCTCTGCTGTAGCGTGGATGTAGATCTTGGCCGTGACGCGGTTGGCTTCCTCGATTCTGTTCTTTCGAATCAGATATCTTGGTGTCTCAGGAACGACGAAGCACAAGGCCAGGAGGGCCAGAGATGGAACAGCACCGATGCCGACTGAGTATCTCCATCCGTTGGTAACATGTTCAAAGGCAATGTTGAGAACGTTTGCAAACACCTGACCGAAGGTGATTGCGAGCGCGTCGATGGTAACCATGCGGCCTCGGATACGAGCAGGGGAGATCTCGGCGATGTAGATAGGAGCAACCATGGCAGCTTCACCAATTCCAAGGCCGACGACTAAGCGACCGACGGTCATCTGAGCAAGAGTGAATGAGCTCGCTTGAATGATACTGCCGGCGGTGAAGAAGATGGCGCCGAATCCGATGACAAATCGTCGTCCTTTGCGATCGAGAAGGTATCCAGCAATCAAAGCGCCGATAAAGGCGCCTCCAGAGGTGATAGAGGTCAAGAGCTCCTGGTTGTTGGACGACAGCGACTTGCCATCTAGATCGGTTCCAACCATGAGGAGCACTCCCGAGATAATTGCAAGATCGTATCCGAATAAAAGTCCTCCGACTGCAGCGCTGGTGGTAATAAGCCACATGAACGGACCACCAAACTTGTCTTCGATGGGGTCATAGATGGCTTCCTCGCTGGTGAGAACGCCGCGATCTTCGACAAAGTCATCGGCTGGTTTGTCTTCGGGGACGGCTTTGCGAATGGAAGGGACGGTGTCTTGGGATTTCTCTTGAGACTTCATGTTGGTTGGCGAAGGAGGAAGAGGAAGATAGGATGATTATGCGGGGAAGCGTAGTGTGGGGAAAGGGTAGAATGCAGGCTGATGTGGGGTGAGGCGAGGTGGGGCGAGCAAATTTAGATTCCGCCGGAGAAAAGTGCGACGAGAAGAAGTTATATGTGAGAAGGTCGAGATCAAGGTTCATGTCGGCGGTGCGGGGTTCCGGGGCAGGTCTGGAGAAGAAGACTAAGGTTGGAGGGTGGTCGATGGTTGTCTGGCCGCGTAGAAGAAGCGAGCAGAGCCTCCGACTACCGGCACGGAGCGTCGAGGGAGAGAGGTCAACAAAGCAGTAAGCCTCAGCACCCCGCATTTTTCTCCCCTGCGCACAGCCCATATTTAAATTTCGATTACGCTACGTCTGAGAATAGTTCATATTTGGAGAAGATAAGGGTGTGCTACAGTGTAATATAATGGCAACTCATTGCGATGGGTTGGATTGTATATGAATAGCTTGTTCAGCGATGAAAAGTAGGATTCGGAGGTCAGTCGGTCGATCGACATCCGCCGGCAAACTATGTTGCTTCCGGTGGGATGAATAATTAGGAAGTGCACAAGGTCATTTACTTGCTACATACAATGTGAATATTAAGGGGAACACAGGGCACCCCTCCACCCGGCAAGCCATAAAAATTAAATATTCCTGCGACTGCAGCGGAGCAGAGTGGCGACCAAGCAGCAGACGCTGGTCGAGCCTCGACGGCTTTGGGAAGGCGGCGGTGGTGAGGCCCGACGCCGCGAGGCTCCTGCTCCGCTGCTACCCCGCATATTATTGTGAGGACGGCCGAAAAGGTGTGCAAACCCTATTTCTACTATGACAAATTACGTAGCTGCTCTGCCTCTCACTGCCGGAACCCTCTCGAACGCCGCGTCTTTGTTTGAACAGCCCAAAGCCGAAGGCAAATCCGTCTATAACCCGCGCCGCACTCGAGCTCTCTATAGCCGTGAACGCACGGAAAATCGCTCAAATCTATGCAAGAGCATCTCGTTTCTTCGAGACTGCTCGGAAAGTAGGTATTTATTCAATAGTTTCTATTGTTTTTCATGCATATTCCACCGGAGAGTAGGGCCAAGTTTCTGGAGTAGATATTATTGCAAAGACCATATAATATTCTTTAAGGGGGGTTGGCTGGGTGTGCTTGCCGGTGGAAGTGCGCGCGGTCTTGGGTGCACGTGACCATGGCTTCTTCCGGGCGCGACAGTCTGTAGCACGCGAGCAGTCACGCAGAAGTACGCTGGTCAACTGATAGATTCACGACGCCTGCGACAGCCTACCGAAGGAGCGGTCTCTCACGGCTCTGGAAGGGCGGTTGATGTCGGTAGGTAAAAGTACTCTTCCGTGGGCGGTGACGTAGACTAAGAGACTCCCGGTAGGTCACCTGATGCACAATCTTATTATGCGAATAGTAACATGAACAATGCCGTCATCTTTGTGTAGGGTTTCCCCTTCATGAGCAACGCCGCCTTCACAAAGGGCTTCAGCCAAATCGCAGTTCCCCAGCTTAAAGGCTGCTTTCAGTCGGTAGCTGCCAGCAACCCGGCACCAATCCACCACTTACCCGATCTCCACCCTTCCCCACCTCAGCTCTCTCTTTGTCCTCGCCAGCGGAAGCGGTGCTAATAATGTACTTTCTTTGTTCAACTCCGGGTGCAGGGTGGGAGGGAGAGACGGATGTTGGTTGATTATTGATTGTCCATCAACGGTTCGCGAAACCGTGCTCGGCTCTTGAGGACGCAAGTCTGGCTGCGCCCACGTTGCTGCTCCTTCGCACTCTCAGCTTGCGAGGCGAAGTCGCTAATAGTATTAACCGACGTGAGCTAGTTTTACGCCCTCTCGGCTTGACCTCATAGTTTCTGTTCGCGTTGCAATATCTATATGTTTGCGTTATAATCTGTTCAACCGTATATCTTCTGTCCATCGCATACGATTCTACAATTTGCAGAACAGTGCTAGTCTACTCGTGTCTTATGATGCCTGAACAGCTATATTCACATAGATAAAGAGATGACCATACCACCAGTGTCTTGCTCTGACACTACAGTCATAGTCATCTCATCTTTTGCCACAGACGCCAGATACTCTTGGCGTCCTGATCAGTGGACAAGGACTGATCTTGGTCAGACGCGTCCAAGCTCGTAGATCGAAGATGGACGCGAGACGCGTGGAATTAGAATTTCCCGTGTCTCGCTCTCCAAGAAAATTACCACAATGAGCACTAATTACTACATTGGGAAATGGCGCGTGCCATACTATTTTTAGCCGTGCTATTACAAATGGGCGTATAATTGAGGGTAAGGGCGCAAAGCCGTGTCCTCCTCCATTCAGCCTTGCGCTACTCAAAACTCTACTCGTACGAGTTTTTCCATTCCTCCAGTTCTTGCTCGCAGATACGCTCTCGGTCCTTGTTCTGTCCCTCTTCCTTTCTTTATAATCCATCTCTCATCGATCCTAGTTTTATTCATCTCAGTCACATCTTCTTCCCTTCTCTGTGGCCTCGCAATCTTCACCTTCCTTTGTTCGTCGCTCGCCTAACTCTATCGCCCCGTTTTTCCGGCATGATTCTCCCGATCGCGACCATCCTCTTCTTCACCGCAACATGCGTACAGCGTGTTGCAGCAATCGACATAGACGTCACCGATACTGGTATGTATTTCTTTTTAATACTTCCTCTGCTCTGCCGCCGTCTGCATTGCCTCGCTTGCGTATATCTTGAGAACCCCGCAATCCCTTGTTACGCGTCGCGCTACTTACTCATTATCCCACCCTCATACTCACTCTCTATCTTTTCTCCAGACTCCATCATAAACGCCTGCTTTGTGTTTTCTCATGGACTCATGTCATATTACAACGGAAATACCTCCGATGGTACCGTGGGAAAATTCGTTTCTCCGTACTATTGGTGGGAAGCGGGCGGAGCTTGGGGCAGTCTCCTAGACTACTGGTGGTATACAGGTGATGAGACTTATAACGACCAACTTAGCGAAGCTATGCTTGCCAACGTTGGTCCCAACTGGGATTTCATGCCAAAATCTGAGGTTTCCACCGAAGGTAACGATGACCAGGCCTTCTGGGCCTTCGTATCGATGGCTGCTGCCGAGAGAAACTTCACAAACCCGCCAGATGGCTCTCCTCAGTGGCTCTCCCTCACACAGCTCGTCTTCGACTCCATGGCTGAACGCTGGGATACTGCCTACTGTGGTGGTGGACTTCGTTGGCAGATCTTCCAATTCAACAACGGTTATGACTACAAAAACACAATTTCCAACGCCGGCTTCTTCATGTTGGGCGCACGTCTGGCTCGCTACACAGGGAACGACTCTTATGCCGACTGGTCTGAGAAAGTCTGGGATTGGCTTGTGGACGTCGGCTTCTTGGACCTCGAGTACTACTACTTCTACGATGGCGCCAGCGTATCTGACAACTGTACCGAAATCAGCAAGTACCAATGGACCTACAACGCCGCAATCTTCCTAGCGGGTTCGGCCTACTTGTACAACTACACCGAAAGCGATGTCTGGAAAGAGCGTGTCTCTGGAATTTTGGCAAACGTCAACGTGTTCTTTGACTCCTCTGGTGTCATGTTCGAAGCCGCATGCGAACGTGTTCAGATGTGCAATACCGATCAACAGTCGTTCAAGGCATACTTTGCGCGCTTCCTCGGCCTTACTGTTCAGCTTGCCCCCTTCACTGCAGACACCATCATCGGTCTTTTGCAGTCAACAGTTACAAACGGTATCTCGCAGTCTTGTGTTGGCGGTTCGGACGGTGTAACTTGCGGAACCACTTGGTTGGAGGCTGGATGGGATAACACCTGGGGTCTTGGTCAACAAATGGGCGCTCTCGAGGTCACGCAGAATCTCTTGGCACTAGACAAACCTGCACCTTTCACGTCTGAGTCGGGTGGCTCTTCCCCTAATGTTAACTCAACAGGATATCCATCCTCTGTCTATGTCTATACAAACAACATCACGACCGCTGACCGTGCAGGCGCTGGAATTTTGACGACTATTGCTCTGATCATGATGCTTGGAATGGCTTGGATTCTAGCCAGTGGCTGATTCATCTGATTATCGAGCATTGTTGGGTTTTGAGTTTCTTCTTTCTGTTTATTTTTGGCGTATCTTTTGTACTTTTGTGTTTCGAGTGCTCTTGTGTTGTTCTAGCAGTTCTGAAGTACGTTGCGCGTCGCTGTATGATAACGCTTATTGATTGGGTATATATGAGGACTGTATGATTTTTTAGCAGTAATACGATAACAATTAGCTGCCATATTACAGTATTTATCTGATACTCAGCTGGGGCTGTGCATTAGAATATTACCGTGAGATTGAGGACGATACTCATTGTGAAGAGTTGAATGCACGTGATCTACATCACTCTTATGCGTACGACGACCTGATGCCAGCCGAAATGTAATGAACGAAAAAAATTATTCTCTCTCTGACCAGTGTATAATGATGCAAGACAGTAACCTCATAATGGACAGAATATCGTAAAAGGACTGGTTTGCTCATAATCTGATTGATAAAATCCCATTTTTGCTGGAGCGTTTAAGATTTGCGTGTGTTGCGGGCTAGGGCTTGCTTTCTCCCAACCGCCATCATACAAACTGCAAAAGAAAAAAATTTAGAAAAACAAGGCACCGTTTCTATTGCACTAGATTCTGCATTCTGTCCAGGTTGTATCGAACTTGATCAGTTTGTGCTTTAGTGGATAGTGTATTTTTTCTATACAGAAGTATTCTAGACTACTGCGGGCAAAATGGTTGGGTTGGCAGGTCCTCGAAATCGTCAAAAGATCGCCTTCGACCCGCAAAACACATCATGGTCCAGAGGTATGTGCCCAACTGCAGGATACAGCGTTTGGCTTACTACGAGATAACAGAAAGGTTCTTACTTATATTGATAATTTTAGACACCGATCGATTTGGCCATCGCCACCTTGAAAAAATGGGCTGGAAGCCTGGCGACGGACTAGGAAGCTCGGCTGCCAACCGTGCGATCACCACCCACGTCAAAATCACTCTCAAAGACGACACATTGGGCTTAGGTGCCAAGTCAGCTATTGCAAGTCAAGATGCAAACAACTGGGCTCCGGGTCTTGACTCGTTCCAGGCTTTGCTGAGCAGACTAAATGGCAGCGAACCTGCGCAAACTGAGACCACGACAGTGACTGAGACCGAGACCGAGACGATTTCTGAGAACGGCAAGATTACTATGTGGGAGTCGGAAACTAGAATAAGCCAGTCATACAACCGGATAGGTAAATGGGGGAACAGAGTCAAATTTGTCAAGGGCGAGCGTCTAGGTGCTACAATCACAGAGGAGCTTGTCGCGAAGACAAAGTCAGAGCGATCTGCAAAGGAAGAGAAAATTCCAGCTAGTGAGGACCGGTCGGGTTCAGCAAAGAAGTCCCGCAAACACAAGAGATCAAAGACTGATGGTGATTCAGCTGAGGATAACAAAAAGCACAAGAAGAGAAAACGGAAGCACTCGACCGATGAAGAAGAGAAAGAGGACGATACGAAAGTGCGGCATAAAGAGCACAAGAAGAGTAAGAAGTCTTCCGAGAAAAGCTCTAGCAAGAAGTCTTCGAAAACACACAGTCGTCCTGAATCCGACGAGTCAGTGACGAGCTTAACTGAGGGAATCGCCGAAACGTCAGTGGACGGATCGAAAGAGAAGCATAAGAAGAAGAAATCGAAGAAGAGTATAGAATCGGCGACCCAGGCGGCTCCGGAGCCAACTGATGTGGATATGACTGATGCTCCTTTAGCAGGAAAAAAGAGAAAGATGAAGGAGAAGAAGAGTAAGAGTGACAAGTCAGAGTCAAAGAAGAGCCGGAAGAAGGCTAAAACAGAGCATTAGATATCATTTGGAAGGGTATACATTTAGACTCATGTACTCTCTGTAATCTGAAAACAATTCTTATATAATCTATTCTGGATGCATGGTCCAATGGTAGCAAATAGAGTAAACCGATAATGCCAAAGCAATACATCGCTACTACATAATGCTGCATAATGTCTATTTATAAGAAGAGGCTACACAATATTCACACTTCTCAATCCCCGATAGAGTTCCTCTACTAGCGTCTCTCCGATCCCTGGCTCTTCAATCTCAGCCGCCTGGATAGCATTCCTAAGCTTCCTGACTACCGCGCGCGTCTTTTCTGTTCGTGAGCGTCGCTCTAGTTCATATAAAGCAGGTAGAATCAATCCCTGAAATACACCTACACTCTCCGATTCTTCAGATCCAGGGGTATGCAAAGAACGGCTGTCCGTATATACATCATCGTCGTCATATTTTGGGGTAGAGGGCGTCGCTAGAGGTTGCTGCGATGCTTGCCGGTGGTGAGCAGAGTCCATCACATGCTCCCTCATATCCTGTCTCACGAATCCGATCTCATCGTCGTCATCATCAGTGATAACCAGATCTTGTAAACCATGAGGGGTGTGCAGGATACGGGGAGATGACGAAGGCGTAAACAAATGCTCTTGAGATATGTGCGCCGGATGCTTTTGTCGAGACATTCCAGGTCCCTCGCGACTGTTCCGGTTAGAGCTTCTCGGATTAAAGTCAGTCTTGTCGCTCTCTCTATTCTCACTACTGTCCTGACCAGAGCCCATCATCACCGAGTTGTGAGTGGATGGCGCGTTGTTGAGGTCCAGCTGCGACAAGATTTTTTGATGCATATCGGGGGCTTCTGATGATGAAGCTACCCGGTGTTGAGACACCTGTCGCTTGTTTATCTGAAGCTCTTGAGCGGCCGACGATGCTTGCCTGCTTTTCAGGGTTCCAGAAGTATTCCGTTTCATCCGTATGGTGTTGAACTTTGCCTGGATAGTGTCATCGTTTGGTAGATTCCGAAGAGTCCCGCTCGGCTTGACCGTATCAAACTCCCATGCTGAGGCATCTGTCTTTCCAGTCATAAAGTTGCTGTCTGTGGCATCGACTTCATCAACCAAACTGCTTGGCTTGCGTTTGTTCTTCTCCCGAAGATAGTTTTCTTTTCTGTCAATCAATTCCAAAAGATGCGTGGTTTTCTTGGCGGAGCGAATAAACTTCATTTTCAAAAGCTCTTTTGCCGTCGGCCGCTAATTTTATTACGTCAGTAGATATTCCAGTTTGCATATATATGAGAGTAATGCGTACCTGGTTTGGGTCTTTTTGCAGACAGCACTCGACAAACTCTTTGAAGTTGCGAGAAAAGTCACCGTCAAGAGTTGGAGGAGCGTTCTTTGGAATGAGTAGTAAGACTGTCATTGGATGGATGCGCGACAATGGAGGTTCACCTTTCGCCAGTTCGATGGCGGTGATGCCTAGAGACCAGATATCTGCTTTGTAGTCGTAGCCATTCATCTTGATGACCTCGGGTGCCATCCAGAACTAGAAAGATGTTAAATACATAAAGCAATGCTTTGGTTTATCTAAAAATCTGGGTGTCCTACCGGAGTTCCGACAAACGTTCTCTTTTTCAAAGTGCTGGCAGTAAGCTGCCCACTGACGCCAAAATCGGCCAGTTTGATATCCCCATTGGCGGTCAAAAGAACGTTGGCGGCCTTAATATCTCTGTGAATATTTCGCTCGCTATGCAGGTACTCTAGACCTTTCAGAATCTCGCGCATGATGATTGCGATGTAGTCTTCAGAAATGGTGCCCGCCCGAAGCAGGTCGGCGCACGATCCGCCTCCGCAGTATTCCATGACTATCCAGAGATGCGCACCGTGAAGATAGCTGCCAAAGTACTGGGTCACATAGTGGGATCGCATCTGGCTCAGGATTTTTATCTCTTGGACAATATCGTCGACATCGTCGTCGGCCGATTCGAGATCGATCACTTTGATTGCCACGGGAGCTCCGGTCCTTCGATCAACGCTAGATTCGTCCAGGATGTTAGCAGGTGTCTGTGTTATTCTTCCTCAAGAATGCCTTCTCACGCTTTGTAAACATTGCCGAAGCTTCCGCCGCCTATGCGCTGCTGTTTGATGTAGAATTCATCGGGATCTATAGTTGCAGATGTCTGTGAGGACTGCGCAGGTGACGTCGCCCGTTGCATAGTTCGGCACAGCAGCAGCAGCAGTCAACAGAGACTCGTTATCTGATTAACAGAGCAAGAGGTGCAAATCGTGATGTGCGGGTGGATTCAAATGCCAGCGAGCGTACGGGTGGAAAAGAAGTAAATGAACAGCGAGGAGGTTGGCCCAACTGCAAATGGGTATGTAAACAAACGACGCGTGTTTAGAGTTTTCCTCGAACTTTAAAATTATACGTGGATGTTTTGCGGTCAGCCGCCTTCTCCCTGCATTCGCAAATGAATACGGGACTCATTTGGGGATTAGTTTGACAAAATATGTTCTAAATAAAGGAGACTGGCTGCGGAGGAGTCTGTGAGGAGTCTGCAGGGTGATATGGGGAATTCCTGATGATGCAGCACCTTGGCGCGTTTGTTTCTATATTTACAAAGGGAAGACGGCGCGACTATCTGTAAAGGAGGTAAATGAATGTATTGTGGACTATGTCGCAGCATTGCTGAACAGCTCAGCCATGCTTGATGATCTAGCTACACCAGCTAATCATCCTCAGCTTCAACCAGAACGGAGGCATTCTTCAACCCGGCTTCCTCGATAGTCTGATCCACCTGGTCGATGAGCTTTTTCCGATCGGTGCTGATGATCTGAAAGTACTTGCCGTTCATTTCTGGCACGTCACTCTTGACGTATTCAAAGATATAACGAACAGGATCGGTCAGGTTTAATCGTCGGATCTTTCTAGAACCGTCGCTTAGCCTGATCTGAACACGCGTAGTAGTTTTGGGGTCTGGAGCGGGCTCGTCACGCGCGACTGGCTGTATGGTTGCGAAAACATCTAAAGGATGATACCTATCAGTATTGCGTAGTACACCATGCGGTCGAAATAGTAGCATACCTTCGGAGGTTAGTGGCTCATCTTCGTCCATCTTTTCGTCCTCATCAAGATCAATGACTTCGATCTTGCGCTTGCCCTTGTCCCTAGCTGACGAAGCAGCGCTCGAAACGTCTTCCAGCGACTCATCTGCGCTCTCAGCAGCACTCACGCTAGACATCTCACTGGCAACTTCTGAATCGTCATCGCCTCGGCCCATAGACTGCTCAAGAGCGAGTCGGATCTGTTCTTCCTCTGACATATGGTCGAGGGGCTAGATGTGCAGGAAGGTCGGTTATTAGACGAAATCAAACAGAGGGAAGCTACAATACGCACCTTATGCTTAGAAACTTTGCCGATAGGATTCCGCGACCGGGGATCAAGACTGAATCTTTCGAGAAACTCATGGACAGCCGTGACCCAGTCCGCGGGTGAGCCAAGCTGATGCCAGGTCTTCATCTCTTCGCCTGTCCGGGGATCCAAAATTCCGACATAGGGAAAGGTTTGAGAAGGGTACAGCGCAAGAAAAGCCTGACCATCGTAAGCGTCTTTGTTGTACTGCATGAAGATGAAATTCGCTCTGACGGTCTCTTTGACTGCCTCATCGGACCAAAAGTCACGGTTTAGAACTTGGCAGTTGAAATCGGAAAGATCCTGGACGTTTACTAAGAGCCACTTCTTCTGCTCTCTACCCTTCTCTTTGGCCTAGTTATAAAAAAAGTCAGCTGAGATGCGTGAGAAGAGTAGAAAAAAGGACAACATACGGTATCTATGTCGTAAGTTGACATGATATCAAACGGCGGACGGAAAAGCTGTTCGAGTCGAGACTGCTTCTCGGTCAAATTCCGCGGATTCATCCCTGGCACTTGGTTAAACACGGAAGGTCTCATAGCTGTAGCAATATTTGTTAGCTGATCCTCGCGAAGCAATAAATCCGTTGCGGGCGCATACGTCGTGATGAACTAGGTATTGGTGGTGCGTAGTTGTAACCAAAGTCTTCGACTAACGTCTCTGTTCGGGGAGCAATCCGCTCTCTCACTTCAGGCTCTTGACGTTGATTCTCTTCGCGCTGTAGACGCTCGGCCAGCGCAGCATCGTCGTCACCATCCTATATTACGGATGTCAGTATTAGTCCACGGCTTCTAATCCGCCGCTGGCGCCCCTTCTCGCTCTTAAACAAGGCAAACGGAAAATTACCAAATCGATAGGCTCCTGCTGCGCAGAAGATTGAGCAGACGCTGATGGCGCCGAGTCCAAGGAAGCACCTCCGGACTCTAGGAAGAAGTTGATGGCGCGATCAAGGTCGCCGTCGCAGACAGCAAGGTATTGGGTCGCGCGCGTGGCGTCAGAGTCTGTGATAGCGCAGAAATTGGCAATCTTTTCTTCGTCGTCCATGGCTACGGTGTTGCTGTCGGCGAGTAACTGGTGAGTCTCTGAATGTGAAGAGAACAGCAGTCAGATGTGGAGGGAGCAGACGAGGAAGAGAAGAGAAGCAGGCGATGACGACAAGGTTACGGCTGAAGGGTTCACACTCGGCCTTTCTCTCACCCACCGAAATCCCGTGCGGCGCTGGTGTTGGCCCAACGTAAGCAGATCATTTCTAACAGCTTGTATGTCTATATTTTACAATAAAGCAGTTAAATAGTGGTGTATTACATAGATATGTTCATTGGAAAGACTGCATCAAAAGCACAGTCCGCTAAATGCTTCAACAAATACGTTCAAACTACACAGATTCATCACATTATTTCTTGCTCAAGTAAGCGCAAGAGCCCATATCCATAGGCTCGATCTTTCCTTCTTTCGGCATGATGTCAAAGTCAAAGATATCAGCCGGGATTCCGATAGTAGTGCAAGAGTTGGGGATGTCGACAATCGAAGCAATGTGAGCCTGGACAGGCGCAGCAGACAGGAGCAAGTAGATCTGCTCGCCGCTGTAGCCAAACTGCTTGAAGTACTCGATGAGCTGCAGACAGGCACCCCTGAAGGCAACGTGGGCATCAAGGAAGTGCTGCTTTCCGTCCTCGTCGACAGAGATACCCTCAAAGGTGAGGTATCGCGAGGGACCGTAGTGGGCCTCAACAGGTCCGGGAAGGAACATGGGGGTGTTCATGGCAAAGTCCTTGACACCGTTCTTGATGATCGAGCACTTGAACGTGATGACACCAGCCATCTCAATAGCACCGCAAAACGAGATCTCACCGTCACCCTGCGAGAAGTGGAGGTCACCAACGGAGAGACCGGCGCCCTTGACAAAGACGGGCAAGTAGGCCTTGGAACCACGGGACAGGTTCTTGATGTCGGCATTACCACCGTGCTCACGGGGAGGAATGGTACGAGCGCCTTCCTTAGCAACCTTGGCAAAGGCCTCAGGAGAGATCGACTGACCGGCGTAGACGCCATTCTCCAGAGGGAGACGAGCGACCTGGAGCTCAGACTTGATCTCGATGTGGTGGTCGTAGAGAGCCTTCTCACGTGTGTTCCACTTAGCCAAAAGCTCGGGCGAGGGCATAGTTCCCAGGATACCGGGGTGGATCAGACCAGGGAACTTGACATGGGGAATGTGGCGCGAAGTGGCAAAGATACCGTCGAAATCCCAGATAGCCTTGATGGCCTCGGGGTAGTACTTGTCGAGCAACGAAGGGCCAGCATCCTTGTCCAGGACACCGGTGTAGCCCCAGGGCTGCGAAGGGAACGGCTGGATGTCCTGGATCTCGACAACCAAGACATCACCGGGCTAGACAATCATAAGGCAGTCAGTCACTCGCATTCTCTACTCGAAATCGAAAAGAACAATGGCTAGAAGCTTACCTCGGCACCTTCAATGCCAATGGGGCCGGACAGGACGTGGACACCGTCGGTCTTGAGGTTGCGGATATCGTCGGCGCAGTCGTCGTTCTTGACCTGGCCTCCGGTCCAGTCGAAGCACTCGATGTGGAAGACCTCACCGGGCTTCGTCCAGGTGGCGAAGGGGATATCGGGGTGCCATCTGTTGTGGAAGCCGGGCTGCTCGGTGGCAGGCTTGCTGAAGTCGACCTTGATAGCGGTGGGAATAGGACCTGGGGAGGAGAAGGCAGGGTGTTAGCAGCACAGAAGAAGGAGAAAAGGACTCAATTGACCGCAACAGGACATACCGATAGGCATTGCGTTGCAGGATGATGCTGAAGACTAGCAGGAAGAGGGAGTTGTTCGATCTCGAGCGGAGAGGGGACGCAGTTCGGGGCCAATCACGGTCAGTGGGCTCCCCGGGATGCGACTTCCTGAAGAAGCAGGTGGTATCGGAGGTCGTGTAAGTGCATGCGCCGCATTCACGCGGCAGATTGCTGACAAATAGATGGTCTTGTACCGCCATATGCGCTTACGGGAGATTGGGAGATAACCAAAATCAAGGTTTTGCCAGCGATAGACCGCGAGTCCGACGCTGACTCTGCCCTGCCTCCGACCCGAGCCCGCTCTTCTCCTCTCTTCTGCTTCCCTTCCTCCTCCCCACCTGCCCGCACTCCTCCTTCTGCTCCACCAGCCTCTTCTCACTTCATCGCATTTACCTCTGTATTTCAAGATGGGAAAGACCGCAATCAGAACCGCCGTCAAGGCCGATCTCAACAAGCCCGCCTGGGAGCAACCCCAGCTCCACAACAGATGGCATCCCGATATTCCTTTCTCCGTAGGTTCCCCATTGTTCACTCGCTTCTTTCTGCTCAATTGACCTCAGCGCATGCTAACTTATCTTTTTTACTGTTCCTTAGGCCAAGATTCAGCCTGGCGAGGTCGTCAACGTCGAGTGCCTCGACTGGACCGGTGGTCAAATCGGCAACAACGACTCCGCCGATGATATCAAGTACTGCGACTTGTCCCGCATTCACTACCTCTCTGGCCCCATCGAGGTCGAGGGCGCTAAGGTATGTCTTTTATCAATTGCCTTTTCCACCTTTTCTGTCTTTGTTGAGGCCCCAGCTATCAATTGAGTCTGTACTGATCTTTATCAGGCCGGTGATGTTCTCGTCGTCGAGATCCAGGATGTGCAGCCCTTCCCCGAGCAGCCGTGGGGTTACTGCGCCATCTTCGACAAGAACAACGGTGGTGGTTTCCTCGACTCCCACTTCCCTAACGCCGCTAAGGCTATCTGGGATTTCGAGGGTATCTTCTGCTCTTCTCGTCACATTCCTGGTGTTCGTTTCCCAGGTCTTATCCACCCTGGTATCATGGGCTGCATGCCCTCGCAGGAGCTCCTCGACACCTGGAACAAGCGTGAGGCTGAGCTCGTCGCTCACCACCACTCCATTGGCACCGAGCGCACCGTCGCTAACCTCCCCAACCCCAACTATGCTTTCGCCGGTGCTGGTGACGCTGAGGTTGCCGCCAAGGTTGCCAAGGAGGGTGCCCGTACCATCCCTCCCCGTGAGCACGGTGGTAACTGCGATATCAAGAACCTGTCGCGAGGCTCCAAGTCTTACCTCCCTGTCTACAAGGATGGTGCCGGTCTCTCGATCGGTGATCTCCACTTCTCGCAGGGTGACGGTGAGATCTCGTTCTGCGGTGCCATCGAGATGGCCGGAATCATCACCATCAAGTGCGAGATCATCAAGAACGGTATGGAGGACCTGAAGATGAACAACCCTATGTACATTCCTGGCCCGGTTGAGCCCCACTACGGTCCCTCGCGATACCTCACCTTCGAGGGTCTCTCCGTCGACGAGGACGGAAAGCAGCACTACCTCGACGTCAACGTCGCCTACAAGCAGACCTGCCTGCAGTTCATCGAGTACTTCAAGAAGTTTGGATACACCGGCGAGCAGCTTTACATCCTTCTTTCTTGCGCCCCTGTTCAGGGCCATCTCGCTGCCATCGTTGATATCCCCAACGCTTGCACCACTCTCGGTGTTCCTGTTGACATCTTTGAGTTTGAGTGCCTGCCCAAGGAGGGTGGATTCAAGCCCATCATTTCCTCCGACTGCGCGTTGACTTCGGGAAAATAAATTCACAAAACATAGGATGAGCTAGAGCAGGTCACTTTACGTTTCTGTACCGCTTGTTAATCTCTTTGATCGTCAATTGTTTTCGTGTTTACTCTTTTTGAGCCGTCGCATGGTTAGCCCTCTTATAAGATGAATGATAATATTGATGTAAAATGAATCAGAACCATGAAGCAATTAAAATATCGTAAGATTCAACTCAATTCAATCTGACTCGCAGACTGATAAGCCCATGTCCTCGTCGGGTAAGGGTAGATGCTTTGGGAATTAAGCACAAAACCCTCGAATATTCAAATCGGAGCTTGGCGAAGAAAGAGTGAAAGGTGCAAAAGTCAACGATAGCGACAGATCTTCTTGAATACCCACACAATCTTTGTTGTTTCTAATCCTTCAATTCGTTGATCTAGACTTTTTTGGAGATTGTTATTGATCTTGGTTTTGCGCCTGTGTGTTATAGTCGATCGTTGTCATTGCTATTCTCATAAATAGCCCAAGTCTCATCGCATCGTTCCTCGAACAATCATCAAATCATCATCATCATGCCTACCTCGAGCCGAAGTTTCCCGACCGCCGTCATCCTTAGTGGTGAGTACCATTTACTCTCTTATTTCTTTTTGAATCACTCGGAATACTGACCTGACGCTCTGCAATCACAGCCACCTCATTCTGTCTGGGTGCCATCTTCGTCAACTGGACGTACGACCACAAAACGCTATGGACCCACAACCCCTCTGATGAATCAATTACGCTCTCAAGACAGCACTACGCCCAGATCGCCACCGAGCCCGCCGTCATTCGAAATGCTTTCCACATCGTAATCGGTCTCTGTCTCGCCGGCTTCGTCGCCAAACTTTACAAGCCCTCGGAGGCAAACAAGCTCTTTGATGGCGGATCACTCGTGCTCTTCATGGCCGGCATCATCATCTACCTCACAAACGTGCGCACTGGACTCGGCAGCGTGCTCAGCGGGGACTGGGGTGATGTTGACGAACTTACCGGTATCAATGTCATTGCTGCCAGTCAGGTTATCATTGCTTTCACTTTGTTGGGCGTTTTGGGGTTGCAGTTCGGTCAGTACTGGGCTGAGATCCAGGACGAGGAAGAGAATGCTAGGTTTGAGCAGGAAAGAAGGGAGCTGAAGGAACGGAGAAAGCAGCAGAAGCACAACAAGGAAGAGGCCGAGGCCGAAGACAGCAAGAAGGAGAAGTAGATCCAGTGATCTAGTGATCTAGTTATAGCATAGATTACGCAATTTCTTTTTGAAAAACAATGCAGGCTATTATGTATTAATGAAATATATAGTAATATAATACAATGATTAAATCAATTGGCAACATCCACCCATCTATACGTAGTCTCGTCACTCGGTTTCAGGAATATACTCCTCGACCGAAGAGCCCTTGTGCGCTAGCGAGTACTGATCCAGCGGATCTAAATCCAACGCAGCAATCTTGCTCATCGTCTCGTTATCTATATCGTTCTCTCGAATACCGTGCGATGTCGATAACCCTGTCGCCGGTAGACTTGAGGAAAGAGACGCTGGTGCACCGTCAGCTTCTTCGTCGTCTCGGCTGCTGGGCGTATCCATCAACTGTTGGTCGGCAAACTCGCTTTCCTCTGCATCAACCTTGTGAGGCGCCTTCGCTGGTTCAGGAGTGGCGTTGCTCGTTGATGGCTCAACATCATTCGACGAAGCCCAGACGCCTGGCAGTTCAGTCTCCAGCAGCTCATCACGCTGCGGAGTGGGCTCCGAAGCAACAGGCTTCTGTTTTCTCGCTTCTGGCTTATCATGTACTCGCTGTTTTGCCTCGTATTGTGCCTCATCTTCCACCACCGCATCGGCATAAGTAGAGACAAGATACGGTGTGGCAGCCGTAGCCCACGCGTTTGACGCTTCAGCGATCGACGATGCCCAGGAAGATATAGTAGCAGACGCCGTTTCCTTGAAACTGTCGAACGAAGTCGCGCCCTCTGCAGTGTAAGAACTATCTTCTGCATGCTGCTGAGCATACAGCTCTTGGTCACGCAATATTTTCTGGTGCTGAGGCCGCTGCTGCTGGTGTTGCTGCTGTCGAACGTTTTGCTGACGGGGTGGAAGAGCTTGATGTTGAGATGATGGCGCTTGTCTCCGTTTCTGAGCCGCGGCTACAGCAGATGCAGAGCTTCCGATCCCATTAAGAGTCACGACTGACATTTCCTCTTCGGTCCTTCCGAATATTTCGTGCCACCATCGAATGTTTTTCGGATCGGGAAAGATGACTCGGTACTCGCCCTTGTTTGCGTTGTCTATTGACGGATCATACTTTTGGTTGATGAACTCTTTCCGACGGACTACAAAGTAGTTCCACACGCTTTGTGCTCGATGACGAACGTCGGCGTCTAATCTCTCCTTCTCGTTATTGTACAGGAAAGTGCCATACTGGCATGAATTCAAGTGGTAGAGCATTCGCCGGAGAAACCGCTCGTTGTACTCAAATCGGTTGGGAAACTGACACAGCAGTTGGTAAACGCAGTCCAAAAACTGGTGGAAAATTGGCGCCGTATATTTCAGTCCCCGCGTCTGACCGCCACCGCCGATACCCTCGGTTGTACCGCCGTGCTTGCCATTATTGTTCACATAGCTGCTATTGGCTGCCTTTTCCGCGGCAGATCTTGCGGCAGATAAGACGCTGTTAAAGGCTTTTTCGGCAGTACTCATCGTTGAATTGCCGGAGCCAGAGGTGTCGGACACCTGGACAAATGATTTCTCGCTGGAAAGATGGCCGCAGCGCTCCGCAAAGCGATGGCCAAACGCAAGCCATTCTTTTTCGACAATCGTAATAAAGCCATCGATTGTGCGGAAGTAAGGGTCTAAAAAGATTTGCGCTAGCGAAGACAACTGCGCGGTGCGGTCCCATCCATCAGAGCAATGTACGAGGACATGTGAGTGGTAGTAGTGTATCCGCTGGCCCATAAGCACGGCGCCTTCCATCACTGTAGAGATGTGCTTAAGCCAGTTGCTCTTGTACAGCAACTCTCTGTTTGGAGGCAGGGGCGTAATATCGCTATCTTTCAGAGCTTCGTAGACTTTATCCAAAGATGCTCTCATGACGTGAATGTTGTCAATCCCAAGATAGACTTTTCTCGCAAACCGGTAGTTCTCCATATTCTCCGAACCGGCACCCAAGGCAGTCTGCGCGATAGCGTTGGTCGTCGGTCGTGCGTCACAAATGAGGTTTTCCTGTGATGCGCCGTACACGTTCGCGACCTGCGTAGTTGAAAAGATGGCCTCTATAAACTTCTCGTCTTGCGGTGACCGGTTTTGCTTCAATCCAACAAGGGGCTGCGAGCACCGCGTGATGGTACAGTTGTTGAACGAGTGGATATATGACAGGGCTGGGATTCGAGCTTTTGATCGATATTTACCCGCGTACATGATAGCCGAGTCTGATATCGCAGACGGAACCACAAGAGTACCGGGATATGTCGGACAGAACTCATACTGAGAGTTCACGCTGGTAAATCGCCAGTTGTTGTTCGTGGTGCCGACGCCCATGCGCTGGAATTCTTTGATGGGATCATAGATGTCCCATGTGTTGACGCTGCGTTCAGCTGAGCCTGGGTGATAGTAGAATGCGTACAGACTGTCCACCGATGCTATAGAGAAAATTGAATTAGTAAGAGGTCAATCTGCGCTGCACTATAGCGCACGCGACGGCCAGATTTGTAGGGTAAAACGTACGAACACAGGTGAGAGCCATCAATGTGTCAAAGACAGCGCGAGAGTCGTTCTCAGACTTGAAGTTAAGAGAAACAAAAGTAAAGTCACGGCATCTGATTCGGAGAGCAGAAAATCCAGTGAATGCGCTGAACGCTCGGCGCTCGACGTGGGCCATTATCGGATAACATATCCAAACTTCTTTCGCGGGACCTGGCTTCACGAGCTCGCCCTTGGAGTCGCGCTGCGGGCGGGCGTCAACTCGGAAAATGAGGTGATGGGCAGTCAAGTGGAGTGTTCCAGTGACATGGTTGCCCCTGCGGACCATCTGCACATCATTGACCTGTGTGATCATGTTAACCAAGTTCAGATGTAGAGCGTGGAGATTGTAGATAGAGCGGCTGTGCACGAGAGAGAGGGGACTAGCAGCAGATGCCGGGCTCTACACTCTGCTAGAGGAGATAGAACGGCCTCAGAGATAAAGCGACAGACGGATACGACTGCGCTGCTGCACCCGGGTCTCAATTGAGTAGCGTCGAGGCCAAATTTGCCTCGTGGACAGATGGTGTAGAATGATGAGTGTCCGAGCACCTCGATAAGCATACGCCTGGAGGACCGGGTAATGCGACGCGCTTGTAGCTAGCGTGGTGCACGGTGCTGTGGTGCTGTCCCCTGCGGTTTCCAAGCCAAAAGATGTATTTATAACAGAGAAAGGACTTACGACAGTGATCTTGATCCTGTCCAGATCGTTCATTCCGCAGGTCGGGTGGTGGGGAGACAGAGAGCGGCGGAGAGCAGGACTGTGGAGGAGAGAGATACACGAAAGCGGCAGGGGTCTCGTGGGCCGGGTGACCAGGACACGGGCCCCTCGCCAGACCTGTCAGCGGGCGGATGACCAGAACTCCCAACGGCTGCTCCCAATTCCCACTTAAACCGCTGAGCCTCCAGACTTCCCGCATGCTCCCGTCCCCGCCCTACTGCTCTACTCGACAGACCGCGACTACTACTGAGCTGCCTCTTCCTCTGTCTTCTTCAAGGCGCATGCCTGTCTCTGCTGCCAATGGGTCTCAAATATAACGTATATCTTGACGACAGTCGCGTCTACGCCTGCAAGGCTTGCCGCACTCATCTCTCAAACTACCATGACATAATCTCAAGGGTCCGTCGCCCCTCCCGCCCTCTCTCCGCTCTCTTGTTCGTCGGCCTGCTAACTCATGAATACAGCAATTCCGAGGCCAGCACGGCAAAGCCTACTTGTTTGAGAAAGTGTAAGAACATGTCCTTGCTGGGATCCTTGCTTGCTCTGGAATGCCCGGCTAACTCTGAATCTGGCGGGGATTAGGGTCAATGTGACAGAGGGGAAGCCCGAGAATCGCGCGATGACCACCGGCGAGCACACCGTCCGCGACATTCACTGCCGGCAATGCCACACCTGCGTCGGCTGGAAATACGATTACGCATACGAACCGTCGGAGAAGTACAAGGAGGGGAAGTACATTCTCGAAGTGGAGCTACTGAGTGATGCGAAGCAGATGGCGGCTGGGAAGTAGCGGCCCCGCTCGCTTGTGTGGTGGATCAGCAGCCTCGTCTGAGTCCTCTTTTTGCTCTTTGTGGAATCTGGGGATCCCTGATAGTTTGTCGGATCGGCTTTCACACCCATAGTTGGGTTTGTATGTCGACTTGCTCTCGGATCAGTCTTTCAAGGATAGTCACAGGCTCTTCTGCCACACTCTAGGTACATAGCTCTTCCTAGATATTGTTCATTCGTGTTGTCTAGGCGTTTATTTATATATCTTTTTTTCGATTATCGTTCAGGGATCTTTTATTTTGGTGTACAAGGCGAGGATCCGGGCAGGCTTCTTTACTCTATATGACTATCTCAATTATCTGCAAAGTCTGCCCGATGTCTGATTCGCTTCTTTGCCTCATAGCTGGCGTTTGGTTTACTATTTTAATATTTCATGGTGTGTCTGTGTGCAGTTATACTTTCTTGTGTGTTTATGGTGATTCTATTGACGGATACTTTGCGACGCTATCTGATGTTTTCTCGTTTGCTTTTATTAGTCTGCTTTATTCTAAAATAATATGAAAATATCTAAGTTGATCCGTGCCAATCCACCTCTCTACCCGAATCAAAACATAAAGTCATTAATCATATTACATGGACATGTAGTGTAAGTCGACTTATACTCAAAACCCTAAAGAAACCACACCAAGATCTGTATGAAAATTTCTCACAGTACCTGTCGATTATCGGTGTAGTGTTCATTATCGTGGACCCAAATTAAGGTCTGTAACTCAGATATGTACAGCATCGGTGAAACGATCGCTCTATCAGTGCCGCACCCTGGTGACTGTTAACTCCAGCCTTGCGGATCATCTGCGGACACATAAGTCAAAAATCACCTGCCGTCGAGATCAGGTCAATTTACAGACTTGATACTTATATAATTGCCCATCAATTTATGTCGAGAAGCGCCTTCACTGACGAATCAGAATAATCCGGATCGGTATATCCGCAAGCAGAATCATCCATATCCGAGTATATGTCAAAGGAGTAAACATATACGTTTTGAAACATAATTCCTGCCTTTGGGATAATTAATCTGTCAGCTTCATAATTCGAGTAGATAAACAATAATAACAAAGGTTTTCAGTGACCGTACCGCAAAGCCAGCGGTCACATTGCCGTAGAAATAAGTGACATGTTGATCAAGTACGTCGTCGGTGATAGTCACGACCGTGTCGTTCCATCCGTAGTCGTAGATATCCCTCTGAAACCACACAACAAAATGTTCACTATCTGAATCTTGTAATCGCACGTAAATCCTGAGGACCTCGATGCTCTATGAAACCATCATCAGTATCAATAATAATCCTCGATACGAAAAAAGGGGTACAGAGCATCATACGTCGTCGGGATCAAAACCGTCACTCAGTTGCACCTTGAATGAGTATATGATGCGGTAATAGTCACGGAACGGCAATTCAGACTCGGTGGAATAATCAACAAAATCGTATACAAGACTGTCGTTATGGTTTGACCCTCTGTCTGGCGCTCCCGGGAGATACACGCCTGAAACATTTCCGTCTATCCATTCGATCTGCTTGAATTCAAGGTCGGTGGTATCGACGCCGGCTGTGAAATAGACCGTGCTGGTATTCCAGGACCCGAGTGAGATGACAGTCGAGTTTGGTGTACAGAAGGCATCTGCGATCGTGGAATTGCTGTCGGGCGGGGCAGAGTCTAGCAATCAAGTCTGAACGCAGATATATGTCATGGAAATGAATCATCTCGGTCTCAGTATATAGTATTACTCGAGCAGTAATGTCAGGACACAGATCAAATCAGAACAGGTCAGAACAGATCAGAACAGGAAAATCAGCTATTTTAATACGGATAAACTTATCAGTTCAGTCGTCGTTTCATCGTGTCCCATACATTTCCTGCGTACGATGTCTGTAGGGCAGATGATCGACCGTATGCCGGAGAAAGCGCAGCAACTCGTCGCCGGCATGCTGGGCAGATGCGAAGGAAGTATACAGATATTGCTGCGTTTTAGCCAGGACTTTGTCTGCTTGATGAGTTCTTTTGACCTATCGTATCGAAATACGGTAAACATACTCTGCTGCTTAAAGATTTTCATATTAGAGTAGAAAATCCCGCAGGTAAACCGCAACAATATCAATCGCTTGAAGCCTGGGCCTTCAAGCGATGTGCCTGTAGGCAAGCAGGCGGTCGTACGCTCTGCCTCTTCGCGCCTTGTGGATTCAGGTACGCACACAGCTCCGCCACGCAACGTGACAGAATTCCCTCTGGAAAGCCTTAATGGCTCGTTGTAAGAGCTGACTTAAAATTTTACCTAGCAAGCGTATGCATAGAATAGAAGCGATCAGGTTTGCTAGGAGATATTCGATTTGTGAAGTAGATAGCGGGGAAGCAGTTGTGCAGCATAGTTAGAGTTTAAAGATGTTGGAGCTCAGAACTACGTCGATGAAATCAAGTAGACATAACGGATAATTCAATCGATATGCCCAGCAATATTGGCTCTACTACAATAATAACATACCTTCATATAAATGACCCGCTTTTGTTTTCCTCCAGCCTGGATCGCTCTAAGAAATCATGATCGCTAGGGCGTACTTCTGGCGCGTATTTAGCCATGCGTGAGCCGCGCATGGTCTGTCTGTAGAGTGTAGGGCGGAGCGATGAAAAGCTGGATCAGCCACTTCCACCCATCTTGGACGATGATGTCGAAGTCATTCCATACATCAAACTAGATGTATGCCTAATGATGTAATTGAGTATTTAGAAAAAGATTTAAAAGTCATACTGGACACAGAAACCTCTCTCTGCCGTTAACAACACATAGCCTGATATTTAAGTAGGGTTTGGTTGTATTTGCGGCTTATAATGGCTAATAAAATTTTTTTCTTAGAAAGTTACGACAGACTGTCCGAGTGGTTAAGGAGTTTGACTTGAATTTAAGAATAATTCTTGGTCATCAAATGCGGTTCCCGCGCGTAGGTTCGAATCCTGCGTCTGTCGAAATTTTTTTTTGTTTCTATTTATTTTATATCTTTTTATTTCTATTGGTTTTGAATACTTTTGTTGATTTCTTTTTTATTTCTGATGTTGGATTTTCGTTTTGGGATCCAGTGTGCGCGCTTGCATGGGGTCAGTACGATCTAGCGATGACCAGCCAGAGATCGGCATATGTATTTCAGATGTGGATAGGAACGTTATAGAGCATGAGAGCAGCTAAATAGACATTGAATCGTCCTCTCAGTTGATACTGAAGACCATGAGGCTTCTCGACTGGAGACTCGAAACTGCATTGCATCGGAAGAACGTATGGCAGTCTTTCATCTCGATCGTATCCCATCATTATAGTTGATATGAAATGATCTGGTGATCTGAGTCACAGTAAAATGGCTCAATCCAACTCAGCGCCCAATTGTTGATATCCAACAATCAATGAATCAACTGGCCATCTCTCGCTATTCCTCACCGAAGAGACCCCAGTCACGAACCTCCAAAGAAGCAACAATGGAGGTAGCCAGTCTCTTGAGCGTTTCTGCGAGCGCTGCTTGCTCTTCTGAAGACAGAGAATGCTCCTGAGTGTCGACACCGGAATTCAGAGTGACCAGGATATCTGTGCTGGTGGGAGATGTCAAGCGAATCACTGCGAGGGCTAGAGATAGGTGCATGGGCTTGGAGGACGAGGTTGTGGCCCATTTTTGGGCTTGTCGGGAGTCGACTATTAGGTATGCAGAAGAGGATTGTCTAGTAGGCGGAGGAATTTGTCAGCAAGATGAATAATAGAGTAGCGGTTATGAAATCACGTACAATGCTGTAGGAGAAGGGATCTGGATCACTGAATCCTCCCGGTTATCGAGGTCAGCGCCAAACTTATATCCAGGACTATTGATCTCCAAAATCTCATCAAGATGTGCTAAGACAGCCTGCTTATCAGACTCCTTCTCTAGTCGCTCAACAAGCTCGATTATTATGCTGTCGTCCTGCGATGTGCTGGCGTTTGAAGAAACAAAGACTTCTTGGTGATCTGGGATCTGGCGAAGCGTGCTTGCGTCGATGAAACCCTCGGGAAGGGATATTCGCATTGCGCCGCCATATAGATCAGTCGGTTGAAGAGGGACTGTAGACATAGCGAGGTTTATGTAGTGGTTGCTGTGGGATATTGAAGAAAGAGAGGAGGATCAGAGATTTGGATATTAGGAGTTTCTGGAGTTTACTTTCTTTCCTCCCAGCGGGCGTTCTCTACGTGTTTTTAAATATTGCGCCCTTGTATTTTGCAATTGAAACCCGCAAATAACAACCACAGACATGTCAGTCACAGTAAGTCTTGTCTGTTTCATCCATAATTACATTATTCCGGGTCTAACAGATTCAGTTACACACAGATTTAGGGGATATAAAAATCGAGCTGTTCTGCAGCTCGGTTCCAAAAACATGTGAAGTACGTACCATCGAAAGCCCAATCTACTTTTTGTCTCTAACAAGCCGCTCTACAGAATTTTTTGGCGCACTGCGCACTGGGGACGTATGATAATACAAAGATTCACAGGAATATTCCGGGGTTTATGGTGCAGATGGGTGATCCGACAGGGACAGGGAAAGGTGGAGAGTCGATCTGGGGTGGAAAGTTCGAGGATGAGATCAGGCCAGGTCTGAGGCATAACGCGAGAGTAAGCGTTTCTGCTGATTATCCAGTACGAGGAGGATACTGACAGTTGAATAGGGTGTGGTATCGATGGCAAATTCAGGACCAAACACAAATGGTTCACAGTTCTTTATTGTAAGTCGATCGAGGTCTCTTTTTGTTGCCTTCAAGCTAACATGTTTACTACTGCAGACATACGATAAACACAGTCATCTGGACGGAGCATATACAGTGTTTGGAAAGGTTATCGATGGACAAGATACGACGCTCTCAGAGCTGGAAGAAGTGAAGTGCGATAAGAAAAATAGGCCTTTGACCCCGATTTATATAAAGAGCGTGACCATACACGCCAATCCTCTGGCCGAATAGATGTTCTCAGTCAAGTTGTTTATCTATGTCGTGTACGATAGCGGACTTAAAGCAGAGCTCTTGTATAAAATCATCAAATTCAATTAATTCTAAAGCTATAAATACAGCACCTAATCCTCCTCCGCCGCTAGTCTCTCAAAAATCAAATCCTCTTCCGTCATATGGCGAGGCCTGTTACCGACCACAACACCCTGCACATCCTCATGAGGATCTACCTTCTGTTGCCCGCCAGGCACTCCAGAATCTTGCCCTCCTCCGTTCTCTCCGCCTTCCGCCGACGCGGCATGCCACGAGCGCTCGGCATCTTCGAGCCGTTTGAGGAAGATATAAACCTGCTTACGAGTGACAGAGTCAAGCTCAGCTTGCGATCCAGCTTCGGGACCAAGGTCGCGGATAGCGGAAAAGATCACCGAGAGCGGCTTCTCTCGGTTTCTCATGATGTGCCGTTTGACCGCTTCAGAGAGGTAGCGGCGTCTGGTGGCGGAGCCGTGGACGATGTGGTGCGTGTACTTGACCACTACGCTGTGGTCTGTGTAGGACGCCGCGAGAATGAGACGGCCGTGGCAGTTGTAGAGCTCTCTGCGAGAGCGGGAACGTTTTGCGGGCTTGAACGGGTTGCGGTTGTTTGATGTATCCGCGACTTGCGAGCAGACGTACTGAATACGGTAGCTTTTGGGCGACTTGGTGCGGGCGCGACGGGCAAAGTAGTATCCCGAGATGTCAAATATACGCTGGATGACAGTCTTGAAGAGTTCGACGGGCTCTTCGTGGACGTCCTTGAGCATGTCGTCGATGGTCGAGAGACCTCCGTCGAGCGAGACGCAGGATTGTAGGATGAAAGACTTTTGATGCAAGGGAACGTGCGTCATGCCGTTGTTGGTTTCAGGATCAACCTCGATCGTGTTGTCGTCGTCACCTGGCCTGCCCGGCACAGGGAACAGTCGAGCAAACTCAGAGTAGTTTGAGATGATGAAGGGGTCCGCGTTGTTCCCAGATCCGAGCGTCATTGTGTTTGAGCCGGAATGCTCACCGTTACCACCGGCAGAGGCAGGGACAGAGCTGCCGTCGGCAGAAATCATTGATCCTGCGGCAGTCCGGCCGAGAAGACCTGCAGCCATGCCGGCGCCGGCGAGCTCTGAATCACGCTTGCGCTTGCGAGTGTCGGACGTGTGCTGACGGCTTTGCTCGCGGCACGAGTCACAGAACTTGTAGAAGCCTTCACGGCCGGGGGCTTTGCAAAGACGGCCTCTGGCTTGCGAGCTTTGCAGCGGTTGCAGAGACGGGCGCCTGCGCCTGATCCGGGGGTTGATGCCGAGGCGGAGGAAGAGGCGACGGCGGCGGCAGCGACAGCAGCGGCATTTGCTGCGTTTCGCTGAACGCCAGTCAGGGACGCTGACTGTCGACGTGGCTTATGAGGGGAGGACTGAGAAGGCAGCGAGAGCTGCATGCGACTTTCAAGACTCTCGGTCGCAGCCTGGACGGCGCGGACAGCCTGCGCGAGCGCGCTCTCTGATTCGTGGACATGGAGCTGAGAGGAGATCTGGTCTGAGGACTCTGCGAAAGCGGGGTCGGTGATGATGTTTGCAAGCGCGGCCTCAGCGACGCCAGAGTCGAGAAGGAGGTGGTGGTCCGTGGTCTGCTGTTGTTGCTGCTGTTGCTGCTGGTGCTGGGAGGGCTGGTCTGCGGTGACATTGGGCGCGGAGGCTGAGGTGGTGGACGGAGGGGGTGTGTGGGTAGCGGCCGAGGGCGGCGGGGCTTGCTGGGCGAACGAAGGAGGGACGACTGGACGGCGGACCTGGACGGGGGTCGCGGTGATGACGACGGGTTCAGAGTCGTGGTCGCGTCCGCTGGCGGCGGGGTCGTGGGAGTCCTGGGGAAGAGACATGGTGACGACCAAGGGGAAGGCAGGCGGTGCAGCGGGTGCAACAGGCAGGAGTGCCCGGGATCAGGAAAGACAGGCGAGAAGACACGCGACCGAGGAGGACGCGTCAGAGGCGATGGGGAAGTAAACAAACGACGCGGTTACAGCCGAGTGAGGGTGCGGTGTTCTCTGTTGTTGTGGGCGGTGAAGCGTCAGAATCTGAGGTTTTGGTGTTGCTCGTCACGACGCTGACGTGGGTGAGGGTGTGGTGCGGTCACGTGGGATTACCAAAGAGGAAGTGCGAGTAGTTTTGAGATGTAAACATGCTTTTGATTCTGAGCTGAGCTGAGCTGCTACTGAGGAATTATTTCTATGTATGAACTAGCTTGATCTCCCTCAGTCCGTCTTTGAAGAGTCTACGACGACGATCGTGCGCTGCTTCTTCTCAAAGCTGGCGTACTTTGACGCGTAGACGTTTCTCGGCCGCGACGCAAGCCAGGCAGCGTGCTCGTCGGCGACAAAGTTTTTGTAGTGTGCGGTGTCTTTGATGTAGAGTGCGCGACAGATGGGCGAGTCGAGCAGGTAGTCGAGCAGGCCGAATTCGCGGATGAGAACTACAGCGAAGAAGTAGATGCAGGCAAGGATGACGCCGACGAGGTAGCCGACCAGAACTTGCTCGGTCGAGTGGTAGGAGAGATAGACGCGGGATATGCAGACGAGGATGGAGAGGATGTAGAGGCCGATGGCTCGCGACCAGCGCTTGAATGGTGTAAATTGGTGGGCTCTGCAGGTACATGAGATTAGAGATGTGCTTGGAGACGGAGAACAGGCAGTGAGCCTACCTGAAGAACATCCACAGTGTTATGTATGTGGCATAGAAAGACATGAACTGCGCATGCGCAGATGGCATTCCGTAACCGAATTGCGAGCCATCTGTGGGAATAAGATAGATTTGTTAGTAATATGAATAATACTATAGCTACTAGATCAAGGACAAGGCAGACATACGTTGTGGCCGCTCCTGCGCGAGCACGAGCTTGAGCAGGATATTTGCAATCTCACAGGCCGTCTGGCCGCAGAGTACTAGAATTGTTTCCGCCTCGCGACGGCTGAGGATGAAGGCGACGTCGAGGACACCAATTGTTTGGGGAACGAGCGATATCCAGGCGAAGAAAGCCGCGAGCGGGTCGGATGAGTCGTAGGAGACGTAGGTGAATGTGAGAGTGGCGTTCCCAGAGCCAGCGACGAGGCCCATTGTTGGCAATTCAGCTCGAGAAGTGTAGTTTTGGTAGTTCCTGTAGTTCTGTTTCGCTGTTGGTGTTGTTGCTGAGCGAAGACCAGAAAACCCCGACGAGACTCAAATTAGGGCGTTTTAAACCTTTCAGATCCTCGAAGGTTTATCAACCGTTCACCGCCAGAATCGTAAACAACCGAAGATCTTCGGACCCAACCTGACTTTATCGTGCTCCGAATCGCCAGATTATCGCGGTTTCATTCTACTTTTGTTAGATCCAGTTCAGATATTTGCTGTGTGTGCAGGTCATTCGCTGAACCTCCTCTTCTCTCCCCTCATACCTGATGCCGCAGTCGCTCAAATCGATCCGTGAGCTGGCAGACGACTGGCTCGCCCTCGACCAGGTACAGTCCGACTATCTGTCTTGTTCATCTTCTCTTTAACCAAACAGACCACTAACTCCTCTCCTCTCCTCTCAGAATGAAAACACCCGCAAGCAAATCACAGATCTCCTGGCAGCTGGCAACGTAGCCGAGCTCGATCGCCGGCTAAGGACACGCATTCAGTTCGGCACCGCCGGTCTACGCGCAAAGCTCGAGGCCGGCTTCTCGCGCATGAACGAGCTCACTGTGCTGCAAGCTTCACAGGGCCTATCCGTCTACGTCGCTGGTGCGGTGCCGGACGCGCTCAAGCGCGGCATCGTCATCGGCTACGACCACCGACACGAGAGCGCCGAGTTTGCGCGTCTGACCGCCTGCGCCTTCCTTCACAAAGGGTTTGTCGTGCATTTCCTCGATAAGCTCGTGCATACGCCTCTTGTGCCTTTTGCGGTCGACCGTCTGCACGCAGCCTGCGGTGTCATGGTCACGGCTTCGCACAACCCCGCGTCGGCAAACGGATACAAGGTGTACTGGTCGAACGGATGCCAGATTGTGAAGCCACGCGACAAGGGCATTGCTGCCGCCATCGACGACAATCTCGAGCCCTGGATCTGGGATAAGACGCTGGTCGACAAATCACCGCTCGTCAACCGTCCGCTGACCGAGATCGCGGATCAGTACTATGCGCAGCTCGCCGTCCTGGCCGGCGACACAAAGATCAACTCTATGATGCGATTCATGTACACGCCTATGCACGGCGTCGGCGGACCGTATGCTGAGCGTGCGGCCGCGTTGCTTGGCGCGGTGCCGGACAAGAATATGTTTGTGGTGCCGGAACAGGCTGAGCCAGATCCCGATTTCCCTACCGTGGAGTTCCCAAACCCAGAAGAGAAGGGCGCGTTGAAGCTGGCGATGGCGTCGTCGGACAAGATCGATATCTCGCTCGTGGTTGCGAACGATCCGGACGCGGACCGGTTTAGTGCCGCGGTCAAGGGCGCGGATGGAAAGTGGATGCAGTTGACGGGCAACGAGCTCGGTATTTTGTTTGCGTATTTCCTGTTCAGCACTATGGATACAACAAAGTTTGAACTGTCAAAGCTGGCGATGCTGAACTCGACCGCGTCGTCTCAGATCTTGAGATCGTTTGCAGAGACGGAAGGGTTTTACTACGAGGAAACACTGACGGGCTTCAAGTGGCTCGGAAACCGCGCGATCGAGCTCGAGGCGCAGGGGTATAACGTCGTTTTTGCGTTTGAGGAGGCGATCGGGTACATGTTTCCCGGGATCCACGACAAGGACGGGATCGGCGCGATGATGATGTTTTTGAAGCTGCTGCGCTGGATCGAAGACACGGTGTCGGGCACAAAGATGACGCGCGCGCAGGGGATAATTATTGTGCTCGAGCAGATTTACAAAAAGTACGGGTACTTTGAGAACAAGAACAGTTATTACGTGGCGCTCGATCCGCGCGTGACAGATTCGGTGTTTAACTACATCCGCACCAAGAGCGACGGTGCAGCAGCGGCCGAACCGAGCGGGAACAACGAGTACCGGTACCCGAGCAGAGTAGGCACGCGACAGGTGACCTACTGGCGCGACCTGACGCTAGGCTACGACTCGTCTACACCCGACCATGTCCCCGTGCTGCCGGTGAGCAAGTCATCCGAGATGATTACATTCGCGCTGGACTCGGCGGTGCGGGTGACGATCCGCGGCAGCGGGACCGAGCCAAAGCTGAAGGTGTACATTGAGGCCAAGTCGACGGTGAGCAGGGAGGCCAGCAGACAGATCGCAGACGAGGTGTGGGATGATTTAGAGCGCGAATGGTTCAGACCCGGGGAGACGGGGTTGCTGCGGCCGTAGAGATAAGATATACAGGATCGGCTGTCGTAGGGTTTGTGATTAATAATCGTAAGGGTAATGATTAGATAATCAAGATTTATTTTTACTTTAAAGTTTTTTAGGTTTATGTGACACTCAGGTTTAGAACGGCGATGAGTATGGGGCAGGGTTCTATTTTGGCAACAGACAAAAAGAGGAATAAAAAAGGTATTTCAATTAGAGAATAACAAAAAAGGTTGATAGTACACTGACTGTACAATCAAGTTTTGTACATTGGAGAGAATAACAATACAGCAATCTTCAAAAGAAAAAGAAAAGAAAAAATATAAAAGTAGAGGGTGTCTAAAAGGCAACGAGACCGAAACCAAAGCAGACAACGACGACCGCAGCAGGGACGGCAAAGTTGACGGCGGACTGGGCGCGGTTGAAGTCAGCGATGGCAGCGGAGGAGGACTCTGCGGCCGAGGAAGTGGCGGAGGAAGCAGACGAGGAAGACGAGGACGAGGACGAGGACGAGCCGTCGGTGGAGGTCGCGGAGGCAGACGAGCCGACGGCGGAGGAGGAGACACCGGAGGAGGTGCTGAGGGTCGCGGTGGCCTGGGAGACCGAGCCGGAGACGGAGAGGGTGGCGTCGCCGTAGGACGAGTCCGAGGGAGTCCACTGGTTGGAAGGACCGTCGGGGCCGAGAGGGTCACCGGCACCGTCGGTCATGTAGGCCGACGCCTCGGAGGGGAGAGCGGGGAGGGTGTTGTTGGCTTCCCAGAGACCTTTGACGTAGGCCGGGCACTCGGAGGCCTCGTTGTCGGTGGTGTAGCCGCCGTCGCCGGAGGGGTTGGAGGTCGAGTTGAGCATGGACGCGAGGTTGTTGTAGTCGGTGAGGATGGTCACCTCGTCGGAGCCGGCGGTGACGTTGACGAGACCGTAGTCGTTGGCCTCCTGGACGTACTCGTAGACCAAGCCACCGGAGAAGACGGCGGTCATTTCCTCAGAGTAGATGGACTCGACCTCAGAGAAGGGACGGGGCTCGACGAGGTTGCAGCCGTACTCGGAGAAGAAGAGCGGGAGGGAGTAGTTGGAGAAGTTCTTGACCTTGGTGCTGTAGCCGGAGACAGTGTAGGAAGAGTCTCCGCACCAGGAGTAGTCGTTGATGGCGAAGAACTCAGCACGGGTGTCCTCCTCACCGCAGTTGAGGTAGTGGGCGAGCTGGTAACGGTTCTCCTCGACGTCAGCGGCAGCATAGCCGACGGGGATGGAGCGGTAGTCGCGTGCCTTGATGTAGGCGCGCATGTCGCGGATGACGGCCTTGAGGACGGTAGCAGCCTTGGTGGTGTTGACGTCGTTGACGACCTCGTTGGCGGCGATGAAGCCGAGGAGGTTGGTGTAGTTCTGGAAGACGTCGATGGTGGCGAAGTTGTGCTGGGCGAGGATGTAGTTGTAGGAGTAGTAGGGGTAGTCACGGGAGATAGACTGGTCCTGGTTGGCGACGTCGAGGATGAGGTAGATGTCGTTGTCGGCGAGGAGCTGCATGCAGTCGGAGTGGTCTGCGGAGTTGTCGACGTGGTAGACGCGGATGGTGTTCATGCCGAGGGCCTTGATGTAGGGGATGTCGCGGGAGCAGACGTCGTAGTCGGCGAGCGGGTCGGCGGTGTCTCCGTTGGCGTCGGGGATTTGGTAGTCGACGCCTGGTGGTGTTATTAGCAGAGAATAATGAAGAATATAGAGAGCAGAAGAAGAAGAAGACATACCTCTGATGTAGAAGCGGTCACCGGTCTCAGAGTCAAAGAAGGCTGGAGGGGGAGGTTAGAGATGGACGGAGGAGGGAAACAGAGAGGTAAACAAACCATTTCCCTTGACCTCGATGGTGTTGAGGGCGGAGACGGAGAGGGCAGAGGCGACGAGCGCGACGAGAGAGAGCGAGAACTTCATGGTGGTGAAGAGGTGATGAATAGAAGAGGAAGAAGAGGTACAGAAGAAGGGAGGAAGAAGAAGAAGAAGAGGAAACGCGGCCGAGGAGGTTAAAAGTTCGCGCCGAGGACGCCCAAAAAAGCGTCGCGATTCGGGCCAAATTAAGGTTTTGTAAATAAAGAAACAAACCTTATTTAAAAGACAGGTTGAGTCCACGCCCGCGGAGTTCGCTGCAGGTTTGTTGTTAAAATAGGAAATAGTACATTATATGTATATAAAAGCATTCGGATACAGGTTGCAGCAAGTAAATACACCATATTCAGAGTGAACAACGTCACTATCCCTCCTCGCATTGAAACAATCCCCGATAGCAATGGAATGGGCCAAGACTCCTGAGCATCAACTCCGCCGTCTGCATTTTCCCTGGCCGCACGTTCCTCAGCCACGCGGTTTTGTCAGCGCTGATCTAAGATTCACTCCTTCAGCTCAGACTCACGCCCTTCAACGCCTTCTTCAGCACCTTCTCAACCATGTCCCAGTCGTCCGTCGGCAGCGGAATCATCTGCACCCCAAAGTGATCCTGGATATCCGCCAGCTGCGCCGCCGACCGGTCGTCGCTCACAAACGATATCGACACGCCCACGCGACCGAACCGGCCCGTGCGACCGATCCGGTGCAAGTACGTCGCGTAGTCCGCCTCGCCGGTGACCAGCGTCGGCAGATCGTAGTTAATCACCATCGACACCGACGGCACATCGATTCCGCGCGACAGCACGTTCGTCGTAATCAGCACCTTGCTCCGTCCCTGCCGGAAATCGTCCAGAATCTGGTCGCGCTCAAAGCCCTCAAAGTTGCCGTGCAGCACGCTGACCTTGTGGCCGTCCTGCGTCATCCGTCGATTAATCTCGTCCGCCGTCACCTTCTTCGCCGTGAAAATGATCGACGACCCGACCGTCAACAGATGGTAGAGCTCGACAAGCACCTCGTACTTGTGCTCCTCGTTATCGCAGTCCATGTACAGCTGCTTGATCGCCTTCACATTCAGCTCCGTAGGCTTCAGCCGGATCTCGTTCGCGTTCGGAATGATCTTCTTGGCATACTCAGACACCTCGTCCGGGAACGTCGCTGAAAACAGCACAAGCTGTGTAGTCTTGGGCAGCGCGTTGCGAATCCGAATGCACTGATCTCCGTGGCCCTGGCCCTCAATCATGTTATCCGCCTCATCCAGCACAAACACCTTCACATTGTTCAGCGGCAGCTGTCGGTGCGAAACAAGACCAAGCACTGTGCCCGGGGTACCAACAATGATGTTCTGTGTCAGCTGTCGTCCACGCTCAATTCGCACTCCCGGAATCGCGTACTCCGTCGTCACCTTTGTGTACTTTCCCATCTCTCGAACATTGTCCATAATCTGTCGCGCAAGCTCTCGCGAAGGCGCCAGGCAGAGTGCCTGTACCGTCTGCTGCGAAGGGTCAACCCGCGACAACATATTCAACGTGAACGCTGCCGTCTTTCCTGTTCCTGACTGCGACTGTCCAATCATGTTTCGTGGCCTGCTCCATCGTGTTAGTCGATTCACAAAACAGTAAACAAAAATATCACATACGGATTATTCAGTAGCAGCGGCAAAGCACGCTCTTGGATCTTTGATGGCTTCTGAAACTTCATTCCATATAAACCCTTCAACAACTCCTCAGACCTGATCGAAATCATTAGCATCATCATCTCACCTTCCTCACTTCTTCAAAATAGACTTACAATCCCAAATCCTCAAACTTCTTAATCGAGTAAAGGGTCGAGTTCGGATCAGCCTGTAAATCCGCAAGCTTAACCAAAATCTCGTTCTCGTTCTCGACCAAGCTCACGAAATGCTCATCCTGCTCAACCGCCTTCAGCACCTCATCGTTCGTCATCACAGGCTCTCCATTCTCCCCCACCGCATCTTTCTTCTCCTCCTCCGGTGGAGGCGTCACATCACGCTCTGCTGCGGCAACCGGGGGGTCTGATGCTGGATCCGCAAGAGGAGGGATCTCGTCGTCGTCATCTTCCTCTGCCCAGCTCAGCGATGCCTTGGCTGCGGGCTCTTCGGTCTTCTTCTCAACCTCCTCTTCTTTCTTCTCAGGCGTGTCCCAGGCCATATTTCTGTTTCTTTTGATTATACTTCTGATATCAGCCGAATCGAAATCAATCTCGCTTTTGTAAACAAAGCAGAGTATTTTTATTATTGACTCTGAAAAACCCAAATCAAAGTTACCCGGCTCAGGTCCAAACCACATCCCGCTCCCGCTCTCAATCCGTCGACCTTCTCTCGTCCACTCGCAGTTGTTTTATATCTCAATCAGCTACTCCTCTCGATTTCTCTCTTTTTCTTGATCATCACACTACTCTGCAATGGACTCGGTTGACGAGAACGAGATTGACGATGGTCTTTCGTTCGGAACCGAGCTGAAGGTGCGCAAACGTGCTTAGAGTCTTGCTGCTGCTGCTGCTGCTGCTGCTGCATCACTATCGCTACCAGCGATATGCCGCATATTCTCAACCAACAGTGACTGATCTCTATTCATATCTAGGACGGATTCAAAGTCACTGAAGCATGGGTATGTCTCTAATTGATCTGGCTCTGGCCAATCTCCTACTCCAGCCCACTATCTCCTAACACCCTCTAGATCGGAAACGGCATAAGATGGCTCGAGGACCTCCAGATGTTTTATCGCGAGCGATCCACTCTCGAGAAAGAGTACTCCGTCAAACTTCTCGCTCTTACGAAAAAATACTTTGAGAAGAAAGCAAAGAAGAGTATCTCGCTCTCCGTCGGTGATACTCCCCAGGTTACCCCAGGTTCTCTCGAATCGTACGTCACCCTCGTCCTAGCTATCGACCGTCACTCGGCTGACTGACTCTTCTTTCTCTCAACCTACAGCGCGAGTCTCGTCACTTGGACTGATATCCTCACTCAAACCGAAAACATGGCAAACGAGCACGACCGACTATCTAGCGAGTTGAGTCTCCAGGTTGCAGATCAGTTACGAGGACTGCAGTCCAGATACGAGGAATTTAGACGAAAGGTTTGCACGTATCATCTATCTCAAATCATCCCAAACTAACAATCGATACAGCACGTCACTTTCAACGAGAAATTGGACGAAGAACGCGATCTTGTCTACTCTGAACTGAAGAAGATGAAGACTCAGTACGACTCCTCCTGCCAGATTGTCGAAAACTCGAGAACAAAAGCCGAAAAGTCGTTCGACAACAGCAAATCAAAAGCCACCCGCCATTTTGAACAGAACCAGCTGGACATGAACAACTCTAAAAACTCGTACCTCATCGCTATCAACGTCGCCAATCGAGTCAAAGACAAGTACTACTTCCAAGACGTACCCTCGCTTCTCGATAGCATGCAGGATCTTAACGAGGCCCGCGTGCGCAAGCTCAATTCAATCTGGACTGAGGCCTCAAATCTCGAGCTGTCGTGTCTTGAACGCTGCCGGGATCATCTCCAGGCCTCTGTCCATGCTATCTCTCTCAACGATCCGTTCCTCGATTCGGCCATGTTTATGCGTCACAATGCGCTCGCCGACTGGGCTCCTCCTCCCGATTTTGTCTACGAGCCCTCACCGATCTGGCATGACGACGACGAGATGATTGTCGATGATCCCGCGCAGACGTTTTTGAGAAACAAGATCGCCCAGTCACAGCGTGGAATCCTCGACCTCCGCTCGACAGTCGAGCAGAAACGGAACGAGATTGAAACCCTGTACGAGCTGCGGGAGCAAGCAATCAAGGATCCGACAAAGGGTAACTTTGACGAGGTTTTCACAAAACTAATAAACGCCCAGCGCGACGCAGCGGTGGCGGACACAAAACGAATTGCGCTCGAAGTCGAGGTCGAGACAGTCGAACTGGTAGTCGGCGATATCATCAAGGGCACAAGACCGCACGATTTCAAAGGTGTGTCGTTCAAGATCCCGACCACATGCTTGTTCTGCAACGACACAATCTGGGGACTGTCGAGACACGGCTTCAAGTGCCGTGTCTGCGGCTACACCTGCCATGCAAAGTGTCAGATGAAAGTACCTGCCGATTGTGCGGGCGCAAAGGTCAAGAAGAGCAAGAAGAAGAGCAAGCAGACCGACAACTCAAGTCTGAACGGGAACGGGAATGCGTCGGATGACGATGCATCCTCGGTCATGATGCCCCGGTCGACAAACTCGATAACTTCGCACACGTCGTCGATGTTGGGCTCGGTTTCACGCTTTGGTAGACGCAAGGCAAAGTCCAACGCCAGCTCGACCATGCCGGGTGGTGATCCGTATGAGCTGCCAGGGTCGTCATCTGCAAAGACGCAAACTGCGCATGCAAAGTTTGCGTATACTCCGAACGGCGACGGCGAGATTCCAATGTCTGCCGGTGACGAGATCGAGGTCCTTGAACCCCACGACGGTACCGGTTGGGTGCTTGTACGAGACGGGCTGGCTGAGGGCTTAGTCCCGTTCAGCTACATTGAGCTTGAGCCGGATATGACGCGCACCTCGTCGATCTCGTCGTCGACCGCGAGCATGATGTCTGGAGGTCTGTTTAAGAAGAAAGGACCGGCGGTGGCGCCGAAGCGGGGCGCGAAAAAGATAAACTACGTTGTTGCATTGTATGACTATGAGGGCCGGACGGATGCCGAGCTGACTATTCATGAGGGCGATAAGATTGTGTTGACCGGCGGGAATACCGGCGAGGGTTGGACGGAGGGAGAGTTGAATGGAGTGATTGGCAGCTTCCCTAGTAATTACGTCAAGCCTGTGGACTAGATTAGTCCATCCTGTCTTTTTGTTTCTTTTAACATTTTTTTCCAATACTTTTCGCGGGCGTAAGAGTTTGTTTTGTCATCATACTTCCACTTTTGATCATCTCTGTTTTTGAACTTTAGTCCTTTTGCTGTGAGCTGTTGAGAGCAGAGAGGGAGATTAGCATTTTAACATCTATTCATTTATTATTTATTGTGTAGTAGGTAAATAATGTACAAAAAGAGAAATAGCATTATATGTAGTGATCTGTCTGAGACGATACAGAAAGAAGAGGAAACGGAAACGCCAGAGTAGAACTGATTATTGAATGAGAAAGAGAAAGGGTTGAGTAGCGTAGGAAGAAAGGCACGTTGTCTTTGATATATGTCGAGAGATATTGTGTATTGATGTTGAGAGAATAGTTGAGATGGAGGTCTTAGGAACTTGTAAGTCTCTTGGTCTTGGGCAGCTAGTGGCTGTGCTGTCGAGAGATGTGAGAATGTTTCGCTGCGGAATAGCGCCAAGCACGACCGGGCTGGGCAGGTGGGCGAGTGTGGAGGAGGACGACGGCGGGATGGTAATTATTTTGGCAGGTTTGCTTCAATCCAAGCCAGTCCGTCGTTCAATCCCTTGCCAGTCTTGGCCTCGACCGGCAAAATCGTCCACGGCTTGCCCCGTTTCGAAAGCAAACCCGAGAGCTCGAACTGCTCCGAGATAGCCTCGGGAGCAAGCGCGCCCTGCGAGTCCTGCTTGTTGGCGAGCACCAGCACAAGGCAGTTTTTCATCTCGCGGTCGGAGAGGATGCGCACGAGTTCTTGCTTGGATTCGGGCAGGCGGGCGGTGTCGCTGCTGTCGATGACGTAGATTAGTGCCTGCGTGCCGGTGAAGTAGTGGCGCCAGAGCGGGCGGATTTTGTCTTGGCCGCCGACGTCCTGTGGGTGTTTCTTGTCAGTTGGGTTTATGGAGTAGGGAGGATGGGGTGGTGCATACCCAGACGTTGAATTTGACGTTGCGGAAGGCTACTGATTCGACGTTGAAGCCGACGGTAGGCACGGTTGATACACTGATTTCGCTTGAGTTCAGTGTCTGGTGATCTAAAGTGAGAATAAGATGATACGTACGCTTCACCTAGTTTGAGACGTGATAGAATAGCTAGACGAAGCAATTGTCAGACCCTCGATTTCCTAACCACCGCCGGTTCAAATCAGGAGTATTCACTTACTGGTTTTCCCTGCAGCATCAAGCCCGAGCATCAAGACTCTTCAGACGAGTAAGTAACAACACCCACACACAAACACAACTCAAAACATACCGAATCTCTTTCGACCCAAACAGCCGCGCCTGGAATAATCATTAGAAGTCGACAACAGAAACACACAAAGGCAAAAGAAGGAAAACGCATACCACGAGACGCGTCAAAACATTGCCCATCGCGTGCCCGAGTTCGTTCTGTTCGGATGTCTTTCTTCGTTCTTACTCTTTCTCTATCTACAACAGGTCTAAGCTGAACTACTAAAAAAACAGCACGACGACAAGATATACAAAGACAAGAGATCAGCGACAGGGAAGACGGTGGCAGCAGAGGACGCCGAAATGGGATCTGACCTCGCTGCCCCGACGATTTGAGTTTTAAGGTTGAGCTTTAAACCTTAATTTACTCTAACGAGCAAGCCGCGCCGCGTCCTGCCCTGCAGCTATGTTTTATGATGATATTATTGAGAGATATGATACGTAGTTGGTCTATTGTTAGTTGTCGTTCCTCAGTCTTTTTCGCGACGGCAGTGAGTCGTCGGGTAAGCCGCTTCGTTTCGTGCCTGGTAGACTCACGGTCTTGATGTCGTTGTCTTCGTTTGAGATTCGGCGGTGCGGATATTCCAAGTTGACTGATTCGAAGATGCTGAAGAAAAAGTCAGTAAGGCAATAATGATGATGATATGTAGAAATAGAATGGACTTACTTTGCTGTAGGTTTCGGCAGCTCGCTGAAGTACGGGTGCTGCATGGCTTGCTCGGCCGTGAATCGTTTGAGCGGGTTATACTCCAGCAGACCCTGCAAGAGCTGAAAGCCTCGCTGGCTAGCGGCCGGCTGCTGGGATTGTGAAGATGACTGGCTTCCGTGTGTCGCGGCAGGGACGGTGTTGTACCATGTCTCGAGGACGTTCTGGTAGGGTTTGAACGATGCCAGTGCGTGGTATTCTGGGTACTGAGGCAACGCTGGCCAGGATTCCTCTGAAAAGCAAGTTAGTGAGGATTGATTATCAATATGAGATAGAGAAAACTTACTTGTAGGAGTTCCTAGAATCTCTATAATCTTTTGCATCTGGTTTCGCTGGAACGGGACAGTTTTCTTGCTATCCATTTTCGCTTCCTCGCCTTTAAAAATCGGTCTGAGCGCAAGCAACTCGGCGAAAATACACCCCACAGCCCAGATATCAACTGCCGGAGTATAGTGCCTTGACCCGAGCAGTAACTCCGGCGCACGATACCAGATCGTGACAACGACCTTGTCGCCCGTGAAGAGTGGCTGCAGAGGTTTGTAAAACAGGCGCGCGAGACCGAGATCGCCGATCTTGACGACGCCGTCGGCGGAGACCATGATGTTTGCGGGCTTGAGGTCGCGGTGGAGAACCCAGTTTTGATGGAGATAGGAGACGCCGTTGAGAAGTTGCCAGAGAATCGATTTGAGGGTCGAGTCTGGGATTGGCCGGCGGTCGGGATGTGAATGGAAGTGAATGAGTTGCTAGCAGATGTCAGCATATAGTGCACTACCATCCCGCAATAATAGAAAAAACAGCGAGCAGGCATACAAGTAAATCATGCTCAGCAAATTCAAAAACCATGTAAATGCATTTATCTTCTAATATAATTTCCACCAACGTCGTGATGTTGACATGTCGCAGTTCGCGGCAGAGAGCGATCTCGCGACAGGCAGACTGCGAGATGCCGGTGTAATGCGCCACCTCGCCTTCTTTATCGGCCTTGAATTTTTTGATGGCAAATTCGCGCGTGGTGTCGCTGTGAGCTTTGTTAGTTCTCTGATTGTTTGAGGGGGGGTGAGTGGGAGAGGGAGGAGATTGCATACCCGTATTTTGCTCTCGCCTTGTAGACTCTAGATGATTGCATGAAGTAATTTAGCTCAACACATCCTGAAGTACAGATAGTAATATAAGCAAGCATATACTCACCGGCCATAAGTTCCCGCTGCTATGTATCCCAGAATCTCATACCGGTCCAGGACTTTTTTGCGCGTGCCATCTCGTCTGATTTTGTAAGAGCCCAGAGGGGACCTCGCCGACAGCGACATGGTGGGTGATATACTATCCTCCCGTCTTTCTGTCTTTCTGCGTTTGTATGTACTTTGAACTAGATAGGTTATGATGCCATCTGCACTCAATCCACCAGCTCGTCACAGGAGTTCTCTCGGTTGTGGCAGTGAGTGGTGATGGCTGGTCATTGAAGATACTGGTGAGCGCGATGTCGAGAAGCCGCACGATGCTTACATTACACATTACATAAGCCGGATAGTCGGCGTCCACGCTAATCGGGATCTAGATGGGACTGGGACTTGGGCTGATGCACCACCACCGGCTCCAGACTGCTGCTCGTTGCTGCTCGTTCTCCCGGGCACTGGTCTTTCTGCTCTCCTCTGCCATGTGAACTTCCTCATCGCTCACTGATCTTCCTCTTATCTTTCAACCGTCCGCCCACATAGACACATCTCAAATCAATGGCGCCCGAATGCGGCGTCGCCCGGTACTCCCCGATAACAATCACCCACCTGCCCGCCGAGCTGATCGAGCGCATCGCGCTCTTTCTCTCCCACGCAGACTTCAACGCCTTCCGTCTGTCCCTGCCGCCGCTGGCCGGCGTAGATCTCAACGATGAGGCCTTCCTGCGCACAAAGATGATTTACGAGTTCGGCCTCGAAGGATACCAGTACGCGAGCGCGCTAAAAGCAGACCCGGACCCGCAGCTGCAGCGCGTCGCGTCGTCATGGGATATGATTTACGGTGGCATGGAGGAGCAGTGGAAGATTCCGTTTGGGGATATGAAGGGCTGGGGAGCCACCGGGTTTGACGGCACGCCGCTCGAACCTGCCTATGCTTATCCTCACATCAGATTGATCCCCGCACACCATGTCCTCGACTTTGGCATCGTGCCCGTGCATGTGTTTCGCAATATCCGCGTCGCGCCGGGGAACTACCTGCTGCAGTACAGACTGTGCATCAAGGAGCGGCCGCTTGAGAAGTACGCTGATTTCGACAATCTCGAGTTTAACGTCTACCTCTACCGCAGCGACTTCAAAAACGACCGAAACTCGCCCACTGATCCGATCAACCCTACGCGCGACCTGATCTCATCCACCATCTTTGGCGCCAGAACCGCCTGCGAGATTGCTCGCGGCACAAAAGACGTCGAGCTAGCGGAATTTTACGTCCCGCCTGGCCGATACTCGGGCTACGAATGGCGAACGCTGATGATTGAGATCCGCGAGACCGACCGTCTGTCACGGTTCAAGAGCGGTCTCAATCTCGAATACGTCCATCTCAAGCGATCCGAGCAGGGCTCCGACCGTCTTAAAACAGTCCGCGTCGTGCCGCAGAAGCTAGGGCCGCGATTATCATGGAAACTGCGGCCGGAGAATATAAAGTCCACGAGCACGAGCTCGTCGCTTTTACAATGGGGCGCAGAGAAAGTTGCAATTGCGCTGAGGGAGAAGTTGAATGATTTCCCGGAGAGCTCAAAGTTTTTTGAGTAGCTCTGGTTTGTATTGGTTAGAGATCTGTCTTTGTTTTTAGTTGGTATCGGTGCATCTGTTAGATCGTAATATATAATGTCTGCTGCATAAACCCTACAAAACCTACGTAAACCCCACCACCTCTCGTCGCACTGTATTCACTGTATTATAGCCGCTACTCCTTCCAAACATAAACCAAACAGTCCTCCATCTTTTCTTCATCAACCCCACACCCTCACACACCGTAATTCCTCAAATCCCCCTCAATACACCTAAAACCAACTTCTACTAAAAACGGTTATATAGCGCAAGAACTCCCAAAAATCTCAAGAAGTCGGTAATAGTTTAGTGGCTAGAATTTCCGCCTGTCACGCGGGGGACCGGGGTTCAATTCCCCGTTACCGAGAATATGTCTCGCGACTTCAATATTTTTTTTTTCTTTTTTGTTTTTCTTTTATTTTTTTTTTTGGAAATTATTTGATTGTTATTGCATAACCTGTTCTTTGTTATCTTTTGTAAATTTATAAAAGTGACGAAGATTAGGGCATAAAAGTTGCTTGCTACTTTTTTACACTTTGAAGTAGCCCGGTATTAAACACATTCACGCAAATCTCATCAAAGAATGACATTGGCGACGCTTGAAAATTTTATGTAATTTGAATAAACCCAAGATGAACTGAAAAACTGTCCCCCTGGGGATATTTCTCGTCTAAAGAGTAGAACTAAGAGCTTTGGAATGAATATGAATGAAATGAATTTATAAAAGAACATGAGAACTGGGAAACCATGGATAACACATCAACTACTAATAATGAATAAGAAAGGAAAAAAAGAGAAGAAAAGAAAAGAGTCAAAATTATCATCACCATGATATAATTGCAGTACACATATGAAAACAGAAAACACGAAAAAGAAAACAGGACTGATAACAATAATGAATCAAATAGATAAGATATGGGGCAAGTGCTTGACTACCCTTCTGTAGGATATGAATTGCAAAAGTAAAAAAAGAAACAGAACAATAAAAGTTTGAACTGACGCATTGTACAGCGGTTGAGAAAGACCCGAGGAATTAAAGTCGACGGGTTCTAGGTGAGGTGTAGCTAGAGTACATCGGAGTAAACAAACGCAGTACTTTTCTCTTGATACAGTCACTAGGAAGGAAAAACAACTACGAGAAGAACCAAAAATATGACACGGCACGGAGTAGAGCGCATGTGCGTGGAAAAGAGAATCAAGAATCAATCGTCACACTGAGCATGTCTAATAACACAGACTCTCAGTTTAGAATCCAAAGGGATTTTCAGCGGCTGGAGAATCATAATTAGCATCAGGAGCAATTGAAATAAAATAAAAGAACACTTACTTGCTGCGGCAAGATTCGCCTGCCTCTTACCGGTCGGCGTAGGCTGAACGGCGTTAACGCCAAAGCTAACCTTCGGAGGCGGTCCAGTCTTTGTCGGGACCAGCGGTGTCATGACATCACGACCACCTGGAGGTCCATTGCCAAAGCCCCATCCCGTAGGTTGCGACTGCAACTGCTGCGGTTGATATTGTTGCTGCTGGGGTTGGAATGCAGTCTGCTGGGGTTGCAAGACGCCGCCGAAGCCGGTCTGCATGGCCGCAATGCCGAATTGAGATTGGGGTACGAACTGGCGCGTGGGTTGCGCCTGTAGAGGCTGGGCAATCACGTTCTGGAAGGGCGATTGTCCGGGATATCCCGTCTGCTGGATAAAGACAGTTCCACCTCCGTTAGGCTGCGGCTGCGCCTGCACAGGCGGAGGCGGCGCGGGACGCTGGATGCCGTAGAATACAGGCTGGGCTTGCTGCGGCGGTGGTGACTGCACAAAGATAGTGTTCATCGGCACCTGCTGCGGAGCCGCCGAGACGGCAGTGAAGATCTGCTGCGGCTGTGAGGTGATGATCATACCCGTAGGTGCAACAATCTGCTGCTGAGGAGGTTGTTGGTACACGATCTTTGGTTGAAGAGCGGCGTACTGTGCGTTCGGCTGAGCCTGCTGGCCGGTGATGGCAGACACAAGCGGTGCAGGGGGCTGCTGCTGCTGCTGGGAAGGACCCGTAGGTTGCGACTGTTGAATAGGAGCAGGAGACGGGACAAGAGGGTTCATAAGATCCCTGAGAGCCCCAGTAGGTTCAGGTCGCTGCACAGGGGCAGGCGCGGGGGTAGACGCTTGCGAGTCGTTGGCCGACGACGAAAGTAGATCACCCACGGTCTGAGCTTGTTCGGGCCGCCTAGGCTGAGGAGGAGGCTGGTCTCCCGCCAAAAGGCTACCGTCGACAGATGTAGAAGTTGTCACCGCCGGGGCGGGTCTTGACTTTCTAGTGTTGTTCTTGAGCGCGCCGCCAGGACCGGCGAAGAGAGTAGTGCCATCTTCATTGGCTTCTTCGGTCTGTCCTGCCGATTTCTTTCCATACTTTTCATCAATGACTTTCTTCACTCGAATGATGTCTCCTTCTTTCAAGCCCAGCATTCGCATGACCGACTGCGAGATCTCCGGGAGCACGGACTCGTCCATTTGGTCTCGGTCAAAGTTGATAGCGTAGCGCTGGCAGTTGTTGTAGTCGACTCCGCAGGACAAAAAGAACTCGAACCAGTCGAAAGAGCTTTTTCGAGCACCATTGTTATGATTAGCTCCGTTCTGGCCCGTTCGCTGAGCAACGAGGCCTGATTCACCACCTGATGGAACAACGCCCATGGTCGAGCGTCGGCGAGAGGAGGTGGAAGACTCGGGTCGAAGCGGCTCGCCGGTGAGACGCTCGACATAGTCGAGATCTTCGATTGACATTTTGTTTGCCGCGACTGCAATCTTGACACCATTGACCTTGTGGAGCTGGATCTTGCCGTCCTGCAGTCCGACAAAGGCCGCTTCGACTTTGAAGGATCCGGTACGGTCTGTCCAGGTACGGATTTTCGACGGATCGGGTTCTAGATTTGGGTTAGTGTCTGATTTCAGATGAGAGCAAAGATTAGTTAACGTACTCGGCTTCGAGGGTGCTTTGGGAGGCGGTGAGTCGTTGTGGGATTCTCGTCGAGAGACACGGGACTCTCTCTTTGAAGAGCGCTTCGACTTCTGCGGAGATTCTTCCTCTTCAATCGTGGGTTTGCGAGACGGCTTCCGGATGATCTCGATGTAGCTCCGAGGGACGACACCCTCAGATCCAGAAAGAGCGTGTTTGATGACGATCCACTCGTCGCTCATTGAATCGTCGAGAATGAAAACGTCGTCGCCTTCGCGGATCGTCACTTCGTCGGCTCCTTCGGCATCAAAGTCGTAGAGGGCGCGGCCGTAACGCTGGCCGGTAGGGACAGAGGCATGGATGACTTCGCGCAGACCCGAGGCGCGCTTGGCACCGACGAGGTCGCCGAGGGCAGACATGATTTCCTGAGCGGCATCCTTGGAACCGGCATGTAGGTCGAGCGAGACGGACGGGTGCTCAAACTCAAGGAAGACATGCTTTTTCTCCGAGTTGTAGTGGACGAGGTTCGTAATTGACCACTGCTGAGAAGAAGAGCTGGACTTTTCGCTTTCAGGAGAGAACATGACGGATCCGTTGCCGATGCCGAGGGTTGCCTTGTACTTTTTCTTGCCGTCGACTTCTTGGACGCTCCATTTGAGGAAACCGGTGTTGCGCTTAGAAGGAGAAGAAGAGCTTGGCGAGATAATTGATTCGTTCGATTGAGCAGACTGCGCACGCGGACGGGACGGGAGACGCGGGGCCTCTTCTTCCTCGTCCTCGTCGTACTCCGGCTCGGGTTGGCGGTAGTGTGAGAAACTGTCGGAGTGATATGACCGCTGTCCGGTTGCTTGCGGGCGGACAGGCTGGGGAGGGGGAGTTTCTTCGTATTGCTGCTGCGGGGAGTCGTACTGGGGTTCGTATTGCTGGGGCGGTTGCTGCTGCGGTATCGGCTGCTGGGCAACAGGCGGCTGATAAGCGACCGGGGCGGCAGCGGATTGTGGGGATGCCATGCTAGCAGCAGCGGCGGCGGCATTTAACTGGGCGTCGGAGACAAACTCGAGGTAATTGGATGGGGCGAAGCCGTACTCGTCGCGGACGCCGACGAGGACCCAGTCCGGATCAGAGGTGTCGTAAACATCTAGGATCTCGTCTTCTTTGATTGTGACTTCTTCGTCGGTCTGGCGATCGTAGTCGTACATGGCCCTGGCCTTGCCTGTGACGGGTAGCTGAAGGAAGAAGAGCAGGTTAGTAAGAGAGAATGATAATAGAAGAAGACGGAGACGGAGATCAGGAACGCACGCTCTCGACGTAGTTGTTGGGCACCAATCCGACGGGCTCGTCCTCCTCTGCGCCAACCATGCGCTTCTTTGCCTTCCACCAGTCATCCTCTGTGTTTTTGTCGAGGATGTAGAGCACGTCGCCCTCGGCGAGAGAGAGCTCCTGCGGGGACTGGGCTTGGTAGGGGTAGATAGCCACGCAGAGAGCGAGGAAGAGCGAGGGCATGATGGCGAGGCGTGCTGCGGGTCTATCAGAGCGGAAAGAAGCGTAGAATCAGACAGCAGATAATTGAATTCCGTTAATGCTTTTATTCTCTGCTGAGCAGGCAGAATACCAAAACGAACGAGGTTGTCAACAGAGGCCGTGAACCTGGGCCGCTGGAGGTTTGGCTGCCGGCTTGCTCGGGGCGGCGCTGAGCACAAAGCCCTCGATGCTGACACGAAAATATTTTGATTTCGCTCTCCTCGAATTGAACATCGTCGACAGCAACAGCAGCATCAGCACAGCACCAGCAACATGGCTGCGCTCTGGAGAAACATGCTCGGCGCGTTCGAGCGCTCAATGGCGCTGAGAAGTAGCAGCAGAACAACGACCTCCGTCTTCCGGCGACTCGCGTCCACCTCCGCCGCCTCGCCGTCGGTCTCCCTCGACTCGGCGCTGGCCTCCGCCTTCCCCGAAGTCAACACCACAGTCACGAACCCGACCCCCGAGCAGCTCGCAGCTGCTTTCAAACCGAGCAGTCATCTTTATCACTCGCTGCAGACGCCTCTCTACGCCACCGTCAAGCTTCACACGCACAAGTTCCTCGTCTCGGTAGGCGACACCGTCACGCTGCCGTTCCGGATGAAGGACGTCGAGGTTGGAGATGTTATTCGCCTGACGCAGATCGAGAGCCTGGGTTCCCGGAAGCTGACGTGGAAGGGCGAGCCATTTATTGATGACGAGCGGTGTGTCGTCCGCGCAAGAGTGGTTGAGGAAACGAAGGAGCCGCTGAGAGTCAAGATCCGCAAGAAACAGCGCACCAGACGGACGAAGCACATCAAGAGCAAACACACTTTCACCGTCCTCACTATCTCTGAAATCGGATACAACCCATGAGTTGTAGTTGTTGTCGATCGTTGTAAATAGTTGTTATCTAATGTATATCTATAATTCATCTCAACAATTAATGCTTTTCTACGACATCTACGACGGCACAATCAAGCTACACTGAATAAAATATACATCTACAACCCAATGGCAGTAGCTGTAATTATTCTGTTATTCTAATGAATATCTACCAGTAGCTGTAAATAGTCTGTTCTAATGTACATCTACTCATATCTGTAATAGCGTCACAATTCATTCATTAAACAAAGCTTTTCTACGACAGCACAAACAAACAACACTGAACAAAAGCAAAACATATACTATACATGCAAACAATCTAACTCCAAAATAATATAAAACTGAAAATTAGTAAAAAGTAGTAGCTTTCAGGAGCAGAGCTATAACGTAGAAACCCCGATGCCATAATTATATATCAAACGATCTTCTCTTTTCTCTTTTTTTGCCGGTTGTCGTCTCACCGTCTCACCTGTTTTCTTAGTATACAGTCTATAATACACCCAAGTAGTCCTCCTTGATACTCCCGCTGTAGTAAGATGAAAGTCAGTAAATGTCTGTACAGAGCACACAGAATACGATGCAGAACAAACGAACATTGCAAACATCTCTCCGACATCGACACGAGTTCCGACAATCTTCAGACGAACATGGCTTCCTCTTTCAATAGTCTGGTCGTCAGACACATATGCTGGTGGAGAGCTGTTTGGATCGAATCGCATATCTGACGGTATTAACTAGACACGATATCAATAAGCTGTCACTACACAGAAGACTTGTCTGAGCTTGCATACTTTTGTAGACACAAACACGCTCAAAGGACCAACATCAGCAAAGAAGCCGACCTGTAACATGTTAGCTCTCGACTTTGTCAGAATAGTTTGAGCGGACAAGACAAACATTGTTGACACTGGTCACGACCGAATCCACAACTTCTCCCTGCGCAAGAAAGCAACAAGTCAGCACAAACACAGCCAAGACCTCAAAACAACAGAAAACAGACCTTAAACGGTCTCCAGACAATCGCCCGGTACTTTACAACAAACTCCGCGCCGCCGTTACCGGGAATCACGCGGCCGCGGTCGACGTCGATGCGCATGCCGTCCATGACATAGATTATATACCCATACTCTCCCGAACAAGTGCCTTCCACGTCCTGCAGCAGCTTCGAGCGCAGGTACGAGTGCATAGACGGTCCGAAGTAAGACGGATGCAGGGTTATGCTCAGCGACAGGTCTTTCTGTATAGAACCAAGAGATCCCGTGTGAGAATGCTGTTTTCAAAAACTTGTCTCTGCGCGCAATTCAGGGCTGAGAATGCAGAGTAAGAACACAAAAACAGAACAACATACAAGGAAAAACATTGATATATAAATCTGTGCTTTGGAGAGGAAGGGATCAGACGGGATGGAGAAAGGACGGAATCCTCTACGGGCTCGAATCCGGTGCGTGAGGATTGTGGATTTGTGGTGTTGAACTGCATAAATGTGAGGGTGTTTGTGCTTTAGATATTCGTTCTGACTCTACTTTATGATTGATACTTTCGACAATAGCGATGCATTCAGAGGATAATAGAGCATGATAAAAATAACTACTGTGTTTTGTGTAGTATTCGACTGTTTTATTCATATAATAGAAATAATATATATTAGGTAATGCACATGTTGCGTATTATGTCATATCTTAGTCATTATACATATCCAACCGCTCAACTAACATCACCGCCTATACGATGCAAATACTAAAACAACAGAATAGAACCAAAAACTAAACAGTCTTTAATAAAGCAACAAGCACTCATCTACAAACACTCGGTATTGTCGAGAGTTGGATCACTGAGATCAAAGTCGATCTTATCAGATCAGGCAGATTGACGCTTTTGGCATATGTAAACAAACCGCTTCGGGGATGTGCGATGACGAAGATGACTTTGATCTGCGACTATTTAAACCCCAGTTCGTCTTCACCAACATCTTCTTATAACAAACCGCTCCTACTTCTCCTTCTTCTCTTCATATTATAATGGCCTCGCCCAGAAACGTCAGGATGGTGCCAATACCGGCCTCGCCCCGTCCCCAGCCACCGGTCGACTCCTACATCTCCCTCGCGGCCTCGCCCACCATGATGCGAAGACCGTCCATGTTTGATTTCATAGTCGAAGAGGGAGGCACCACCGCCCTCTCGCCCGACCTCATCTCCTTCGCAATGGCCCCGCCGTCGAAGCTCCAGCGCATGGACTCCATCTCGCGACTCACCAACCTGCTCGAGCGCAGATCACGGGCGTTGATTGGGAATAGCAAGGCCTTGACGAACTGGGAAGAGAAGCGGGTTGATCTCAGCACAGTCAAGAACAGAAAGCTGAGAAAGTTCTACCAAGAGCAGGTGTGTCTTATATAAAGCCCACTCTCCTCATCTCACTCTAACAACTCTCTTAGAACGAACTCATCGACCGCTACAGCGAGATCGACAGACTGCTCGACTCCAAAATCCCCGAGAACGTGCTCCAGGTCTACGGCGACGAGTCCGTCCATCGCCACCTGGAAGTCCCTGGAAACATCGAAGAAGAAGGCCTTCCTCTACTCGGCTACGACCCCGACGAAGAGCGCGGCATCCGCATGGCAATCCTCTTCAACTTTGTGCTCAACGTCTTCTTGCTCGGCGGCAAAGCTGCCGTCGCCGTGCTCTCGAACTCGCTCTCGCTCATCGCCTCCCTCGTTGACTCGGCCCTTGATTTCCTGTCGACGGCAATCATCTGGACGAGCGCGAAATTCATCCAATCCGAAAACTCACGCCTGAAAGCCGCGTTCCCTGTCGGCCGCGCGCGACTCGAGCCAATCGGCGTGCTTGTCTTTTCTGTGATTATGATTGTCTCCTTCATCCAGGTCCTTATCGAGGCCGTCGGCCGGCTCTACGCCGAGCAGCAAGAAGTCTCGCTCGGAGTCTCGACGATCGTGATCATGGTCATGACCATCGTCACGAAAGCCGGCGCATGGCTCTGGTGCCGCAGCGTAAACTCCACCGCCGTGCGCGCGCTCGCGCAGGACGCGGAGACCGACGTCATCTTCAACGTCTTCTCGATCCTCTTCCCGCTCATGGCCCTACTCTTCCACGCCCCGCAGCTCGACTCGATCGGCGCAATCATCCTGTCCGCGTACGTCATCTTCACATGGTCGCAAACCGCCCTCGACCACATCAACCACCTGACCGGCGCCGCCGCCAAATCCGCAGACCGTCAGGTGGTCCTGTACCTGTGCATGCGGTTCGCGGACTGCATCCAGCAAATCACCTCGCTGAACGCGTACTACGCGGGCGATAACCTGAACGTCGAGGTCGACGTCATGGTGAGAGAGAAGATGAGCTTGAGAGATAGTCATGACGTGGGCGAGAGCTTGCAGTATGCGCTCGAGACGCTGCCGATGGTCGAGCGGGCTTTTGTGCATATCGATTATCGGAATGATAATTTTGCTGGACATCTGCCGAGGTGATTTTGATTATATTCTGTAGGTTGTAGGTTCTGTATACCATAGATTTCTTTCTGATTATGTTTGAACATTTGTGTTTACTTTTTGCTGGATTGGGCTTTTTCTATACTTTTGTTTTCGTTTCTTTTGGAGAGTGGTGTAAGTAGATAATTTGATTTAGTATTTTGATTTATAGAAACTTTTACACTATACTTTTAAGACTGTAGACCAGATCATGAACATAAACATACAAAGAAAAAGACAGAAAACCCAAACAAACCATATGAACAAAAACCAAATAAAACAATACCAGAATGGAAACCAGATTCGAAAACAATGCTCTTCTCTAACAATCTAAGCAACAACCTGCGCGTCACCCAACATAGCCTCCCGCTCCTCCTCCCTCTGCGGATTATAGCTGTGATGTCTATACATTGGAATCGCCACACTCGGCGACAAGTCCTGACACAGCCGTGCCGCGCTCGTCGCGAGATCGTTGATGCTCGCGTAGGCGGCTAGGTGGCGCGCGTTGCGCAGCTCGGAGTGGTGGATGTCATACATCGTCGGGTGGTTTGAATCCCGCCTGCGAACGGGTGGCTGGCTCCAGTGCGTGAAGACGTTGAGCACGTCGTCGTCATCGTCGTCGGAGGCGGTGTCGCTGGAGTCGGATGAGGAAGAGGAGCGGCGAGGTTGGAGGGCGGGAGAGGAAGTCAAGAGCTCCGAGTTGAGGAGCATGTCCGCGACGTCGGAAGTCGTGATCTCGACAGGGATCTTGAGCGAGATCGAGCCGTATCCCGCCGAGAGCTTGACAGTGACTTCAGCTTCGTATTGCCGGCCGATCAGACATGACCAAAAGTTCGGCACCAGAGTGCGGAAGCGCGGAAGTCGAAGCTGCAAAGTCGTGCTGAACGTGTGGTGGTTTGCGCTTTCTTTGGACCACTGCGCGCATGGCGTAGAAGAAGGAGGGGTTGGGAAGGCGGTGGAGTTGATGGAGAAGGTCTCGTGGTAGATTCCCAGTCTGGGGTCGACCGCGCGCGAGTCCGGCACAGGGAGATATGTCATCGACACGGTCGAGAAATAGGTATACGCTCTCAGTCTAACTGTCGCAGACTCTACCTTTGGCAATGACTGCGGGTTGTCGCCTGGCGAGCAGGAGAGGGTGAGAAGCATAGGCACGGACGAGTCCGGCTGACCAAAAATGAAAGGCTGCAGGATGCTCGCCTCGAGAGTGATTTTCCCCGCCATACTCTTCTTGATCAGCAGGCCCTTTTTCAGGATTTTTGTGGTGCGGTAAAACCGCGTAAAACTATCCGAGCTGTGCTGACTGACTTCCTGATCGCGGAAATGGTGGTGCGGGATATTGTTGATATCGGGCTTGTAAGCCGCGACGACGTTGAACGGCGCCGAGGCCTGGAGTGGAACGGTCCGGCGCGAGTCGGGAGGCTTGAGATGGATTACCTTTGCATGGATCTGGTACGTGATGCGGGCCATGTCGGGCGAGCAGTCATCGTGCGAGAAGGAGGTGCCTTCGCCGAGGGAGGAGGGAAGCAGTCTGTGACAAGCGAGGTGGTCGCACTCGGTCTCGAGCAGGGTTTCCGGGAGGACAAAGGAGAAGTAGAAGGAGTAGGTTGTGTGAGCGCGGAAGATGCGCAGGGAGGGGTAGTCCTCTTCGTCTATCGGGCAGGCCATTTTGAGAAACTGCAGTTCGAGATGTCAGATGTCAGCATGGTAGAGAGTTAATTGAGGGATGGAAGTGTGAGCGTACAGTGTTGCGGATGTTGATGCGGTTGCCGACGCCTGCGCGGTCGTTCCATGTCCGCGCGGTTCCCTCGAGGGTGACGATGAGGCAGGAGAACTCGGTGTCTTTTGTAGGGGTGATGAGGATGTTGCCGGAGATGCCGCTGCCGGGGAGATAGTGGTCTTTCTTGTCATGGAAGAGGATTGATAAGCGATGGGAGGAGGAGGGAGCGGGGGATGAGGGCGAGGAGGAGAAGAATTGGAGGGCAGAGACAAAGGAGGAGGAAGAAGAGGCGCCGGTGGAGGCGGTTGCGATAGAGGACGGTCTGCGGCCGGGGAGGACGGGACGGGGTGGTTGGGGATGCGGTTGAGGATGAGGATGAGTAGACGATAGTTGGAGATGCGGAGTAGGCATTACTAGCGGAGGAAGAAGTCAAAAGAGTTGGTGAAGCAATGCATTTTCCAATTGAGCGCAGAAGCAGACGGGCTGCTTTTATATATCAGAGATAATTGAGGAGGAGGAGGAGGAGGAGAAGTAGAGGAAGAGCAGAGCGGAGGAGAAGAGCAAAATCCAAATTTAATTCTGTTTAATTACTCAAAAAGTCAAACTGCTCCGCGCGCACGAACCATCGACGCGGAGCGGATGACTATTATTCGTTATCGCATCAGCCTACGTAGGCTGTTCATATTAGAGAGGAGTGTAGTTGTTATAGCAATAACAAGCAATAACAATAACTAATAGAACATTCAGTAAATATCAGGCACATCTCTGTTAATGTCGTCATCCTCAAGGTCCCAGGAACACTCCACGCGTCCAAGCAGCCCTGAAGAGTCAACAACAACAACAACAGCAGCAACAGACAAATGTCCGCGGACCGTGGCCTTTGCTCTGCTCTGCTTTGAAAGACTCTACCCGCATTCCTTCCTTTGGCGTTGACCTGACATCGACATAGAGACAGGATGACTCTTGTCCGGCGGGTGGCGGACCCAAGTGGGAAGCTCAGGCCGCGGCCTCTTCCGCTGTCAGACTCTGCTCTGAACCCTCCGCGGACTTTCGGGTGGTTTTCAGCCCTCTTTCTGCTCTGTTCTGCTGTCTGTTCTGTTCTGTTGTGCTGTTCTGTTCTGTTCTGTGCTGTTCTCGTTGCTTCTTCTTCTACTGTTATCATTCTTGTTATAATCTTCTGTATATTCTTCTTGTACTAGTCAGTCTTCACCGCAGTATATATCCGACTCACAAACCAATACGACCCCAAAAACGCAACCGTGCCAGTGCAAAGCCCGTACACCGCGCACGCAATCAACGAATAACTGAAAAACAGCAGCCCAGACACAAACCCGCTCACCGTCAGCCGAGCAAAGTAATACCACACCGAGTACAAAAAGATCCACACTCCCGCTCCTGAGCCCACGAAGAACGACCGCCACCACCAGTTATAGTCCTCCGCGCACAACTGCACGTACGTCGTCACGATCGAGATCTCGACTACCGTCACCATCTCAATCACATACGTCAGACCCAGAAAACTGTACATGTAGTAATACCCCGTCTTGTCCTGCCACACCGACTTTAGAATAAACAGCAACTCAATCAGAATCACCGCAAACTCAATCAGCCCGCCAAACGCAACCGAAAACTCCAGACTCATGTACCAAGGCCTCATCGGGATCTGTCGCGGAATCGCCTTTATCCGCGTCGGGCTCTCGATCGCTGGCCGCCGGAATCCAATCCACGCCCCAACTATCACCAGCGGCACTAGAATCAGAAGCCACATGCTGATCAACGCTACCAGCGTTCCGAACGGAATCGCTGACGACGACGACTTGCCCCACGAGAAAAAGTTGATCACAAATACAAATCCAAGCAGCGCCCCTGGAACCAGCATCGATGTCTTATAATTAACCGTTAGCCTTTGCTTCATCTTCGTGCTCATTTAAATCACCCACCCTCAAAGCATTCTTCAGCCACTTCACTCCCTTGAACGACTTGTACAGTCTCGAGCTAAAGTATCCCGAAAACACCCTATCCAACCATGTCAGCAACATACTCCTCTCCTTCAACTAGTTCTACTCACCCCGCAAAGACAAACAGAAACAGAGCCAGACTAAGAAACCCGCCCCGGTGACTCGGACTCAAAAACCCCAGCGTCGCAAACCCAAGCACCGCAAGCCCCATCACAAACATCTGCACTCCTGCTCCAATCAGCGACGCCAAAACGCCCTTGTGCACCGGCGGTCGAAACACATCTCCGTGCAATAACTTCCATCCACTGATGTCTTCCGGCAAGTCCTTGTCATCCTCGCCGTGACTGTCTTGGTTATACGACTGAATGTCGCGCGAAAGCGTGCGCACCATGATGATCGCCACCACAACCGTCAGCAGAGAGATAATCACAAGCGAGTTGATAATCGCAAGCCAGTGAATCTTGTCCGAATCGTTGTTGTTCAAAAAATACAGATCCCATCGGTTGGCGTACGTGATCTCGAGATCTTCCTTGAAATAAACAGAGTACGAATAACTGATCTCCATCTCTTCCTTTGTCGGATCAAGTGCCAGCTTTCGTCCATCTTTTACCTTTCGACGGCATTCCGCATACTCTTGCGCAATCCTAAACAACAACTCATCAGTACTCAACTCCCAGCTCCTTCACAGTAAGTTGACCTACGATTTCGGATACACCTCAAACGCAACAATCTGCTTTCGCGACGGATCCTGTTCAAGAGGCCGATATCGCACAATCATCGTAACGTGGTTGTTGAGATATGCCACGTCATTCTCATACGACCCGAGCTTGAATCCAGAGGCGTAGTATTTGTGTGTTTTGTCCACCGACACGTACGATGTCGCGCCGGGCAAGTCATCCAGCAACCTACATCTATATCAGCCCAACCGCTCTTAAACTTCTCTCCAGAACTCTCCACACAACTCACCACTCCACGACATAAGAATTCCGAATCAGCGACACCGCGCGCTCAACATCCCCGCTCTTCACCTTCCGAGTGCACAACGTCGCGCACTCGACATCACTCCCCATCTCAATCACGTAGTCCGACCCCGCAATCCGATCGCCGCGCAAAATCTCTCCCAGATTAAGACCCACGCGCTCGTTCGTCGACGGACACACGAACGGAAGCCCGTCGTATGCGTACGGAAGCTGCGTCGTGTCGGAGGCGACCTTGTTCACCATCAGCGGGATACGCTCGCCGTCCGCAAACGACTGCGAGGACCAGCCTAGTACATCATTCAAAAGTAGATGAGCAAGTGCGCTACACTGAATAGCAAAGCAGAGAGAAGGAATCAGGGCAGGAGACATACTCGTGAAATCGAACGCATTAGCAAGTCCGAGCAAGGCCGGCAGCGCTCTCAGCGCGAGCAAAGCACACTTCATTCTCGTTCTTTCTCTTCCTCTCTCAAAACAAGAGTCTATGCTGCAGCACAGTTATAGCAGACCAAAAAGGGATTCACAAGAACGCAACGAAGAGCGAATCTGCGCAATGTGATGAGTTGCTGCTCGATCCGTGGCTGCGGATTCGAGTTGCGCGTTGCGAGGACGAAATCTGGTTTTAAGCTTTTGATCGTGCGGCTCACTGAACACGTGCCTGCTCATCTCCAACTCAACGTCTTTCTGCTTCCTGACCTCCTTCTTCTTATCTCATCATCGTTTATCTTCTGTTGTCTGCTTTCTTCTGATACAATGCCTCCTTCGAAGAGACTCGAGAAGCTCTCTGCAATTGCGCACCTGGACTCGCAGCAGTCTTCCTCGCAGCAATCGACCCAGCTGCTCATGGAGGTCGACGAGCTCGTATGATAGACATCTCTTGACTTATCTCTTCTTTCAGATCTTACATATCTTCTTCCTCCTCGCAGCCGCGACATCATCCGGCTTCTGTTTCTGCTCCAGAGCAGGTAGCTACGCTTGTAATGCACACCGCAGCTGAGAAGAAAAGTGTGCTGTCCCGCGTCCTCTGTCTGCCGCACTCACTCACTCTCATCATAGTCATCTCTCTACTCCACGACCGCGAGTTTACCGTCGGTCGTAGGTCCTCATGGTGATATCTCCCTCAGCGCTCTCTACTACACAGCCTCTCTAACGATCTCAAAACTCAGTGACCAAGTCGTAGCTCACAGCGCCGTCAGCAGCATCCACTTCACCATCTACACCGTCAAATTCGACGACTCCAGCGCCCCGCTCGTCTACTGCTGGGACCGCAGCCGCAACGGCACCTTCCACAACCGTCGCATCATCGGCCACGACCGCCGCATCTTGCTCTCTGACGGCGACGAACTCGAGATCAGACACGCGTGCTCGTTCGAGTTCCACCAGCAGCGCGCCGGACCCTGGACCGCCGGCGATCCAACTCTTGACGAAGACAGGCCGCATATCAAAGACTACGAGATCTCATCCCGCGCGCTCGGACACGGGACTTTTGGCCGCGTGCTGCTGGCGACTGAGCGGAAATCTGGCCGGCAGGTCGCGTGCAAGATCATTGATACCAGAGGCAACTCGATCCGAATGATCAAAGCAAAGACCGAAATCGCAATCTTGCAGCGTCTTCGCCATCCAAACGTTGTCTCCGTCTACGATGGACTCGTCATCCGGAATCGAATGTAGGTGGTTATTATTGTACTCACTGACGACCGACTGCTAACGTTTGTAGTTACATACTTGAGGATCTGTCTGGAATCTAACTCTTTGCGAATTACGACCATCCGCTAACTCTCAGCCACAGAATCACGGGCGGCGATCTATTCAGCTACCTCTCCGACGGCGAAAACATGTCTTCCATCCCCGAAGCAGAAGCTCTACTGATAACCTTCCAGATCCTCAAAGCTCTCGAGTACCTCCACCGCAACAACGTCATCCACCGAGACCTCAAGCTCGACAACATTCTCCGCGTGTCGCAGCACCCAGGCGCCAGGGTCGTGCTCATCGACTTTGGGATCTCAAAGTACGTCCGCGACGGCGCGCGGCGCATGACGACCGTCGTCGGCACGCCCGAGTACGCGGCGCCCGAGGTGGGATTCGCGGGACTCGCGCCGGCGGCAGGCACGCAGCGGAAGTTTGCGAAAACAGAGAAGAGCGGGTACGACAAGAAATGCGACCTGTGGAGTTTAGGCGTGATTCTCCATATCCTGCTCTCGGGTATTATTAAATAGTGTTGCCTTTCTTCATTCCGCGTTGGCTATAATTTTTATGGTTTAGGGATTTCGCCGTTTTACGATGTGTCGCAGAATAGTAAACGGATGGCGTTGAAAGCGGTTTCCGGAAAATTAGACCTTTCTAATCAATACTGGAAAGATATCAGTCCAGCGGGTACCATCGTTTCATTTCCTGATCAACTGGTTTCGATGAATCTTTAACAAGCTGACTGTCAAATAACCAAACTACAGCCAAAAGCCTCGTCCGCAGACTCCTCTGCGTCGACCCCGAAACCCGCTACTCGGTCGAAGAATGCTTTGAACACAGCTGGATCGCAAACCAACTTTCCGTGCTCGAATCGATTTACCAGGAGAAAATCGTGGCCGGCTGGCAGCCGCCGCCTGATGAGCAACATCGCTTGAGTCTGGCGGATAGTCAGAGCGCGGACGGAGATGGCGGGCTCGTGTAAGGCGTGGGTGCTTGCTTGCTTTGTTGCTCGCATGCTGGATATCTGCTTTTCTGTCTGCACTGTCTTGCTCTTTGCTCTTTTGTTCAAGTTATTATAGTCAAGATAAGTTATGGGCTTGCGAAAGATATTAGTAATAAAGATCACGTGATATGGAATTTATGTCCCGCGCGGCTCACATGTAATCAACTTTTTTCTGCCATCAATAGAATACTCTGCGATTTGCATAGCTGATAACACAGTCTCTTGATTTTGAAGACAAGAGGCGGAAACTACAGACAACAGAATAGACCAAGAAGAATCATAACAGAAAATGGCTGCGAATCTCTGGCTTGCGGCGTCGGACAACGACATCCGCGCCGTCGAAGCGCTGTTAGTAACCGGCACCAACACCGCGAACGACAAAGACCCGCACGGCTACACTGCTCTGCACGCAGCAGCCTCGTACGGCCATCACGATCTGCTGCGGTTGCTGGTTAAGCGGGGCGGCGACGTGAATATCCTGGACGAGGACGGGGAGACGCCGTTGTTTGTGGTGGAGAAGGTTGAGACTGCGAAGGTGTTGATCGAGGAGTTGGGTGCGGATTGGAAGGTCAAGAACGACGAGGGCGTGACGGCGCGGGAGAAGTTGCAGAAGGATGTGGAGGAGGATGGGGAGCCTTTTGAGGAGGTGGTGGGGTATTTGAAGGGGTTGGAGGATGGGACCGAGGCAGGCGATGAGGGGATCGAGAGTATGCAGCGGCGGATTGCGGATGCGATTCCGAGCGGGTCGGGGATGTCGGTGTCGATTCAGAGGGTGGGTGAGCCGGCTGGGGAGGGGAAGACGATGAGGTGGCGGCGGAGAGAAGGAGACGGATCGATGAGGCGATGAGGTCTGATAATCCGGAGGAGAGCGTGCGGAGGTTAGTTGAGGAGGCGGTCAGGTTGCAGTTGGGCGATGGCCGCACGGAGGAGGAGCGAAGTGTGCGGAGGAAGGTGTAGGTGATTGTTTTAGAGCTATTGCGTTGTATTATAGGTTTTCGTTCAAGGTATATTACACATTTATAAAGATATGTTCAGATATAGACAAGATATATACAAATCCTAGCCACTCAAAACCGCCTTAACAGCCGCATCGGTAGCCTTCTGGATCTTAGTCAAGTACTCCTTATTCAACGCCTCGATCTTCGTCTCGAGCGAGCGCACGACGTCCTTGCTATACGACGCCTGCTTCATCTTTTTAATCTCGACCAGCGCGTCCTCGCGCGCGGACGCGAGCGTCGCGATCGCGGCCGTAGACGAGTTCTGGCCCGTCCGGACTTTCAGCGCTGCAGCCTTGATCGCGTTCGCAGTCTCCTTCCGCGTCTCCGCGGTCGGGGCAGGGATCGGGATCAGCAGGTTCTGGCGGTTGGTGGAGTCGATTACGGGGTTCATGTTGAGGTTTGCGGCGAGGATCGCGCGTTGGATGTTTGTCACCATCTGCGAGTATGTTAGCAACAATTTAGAAAGAAGCTGGTGAGAAGTAGCTGGGGAGACGTACGTCTGGATCGTAGACGGTGATCAAGATCTGTCGGCCGCCGCGGGAGGTAACCTGCGCAACACTATCGAGCTGCGTCTTCTCGTTGTCATATCCCTGAACCTTCAACCGATTAAGCACGTTCAAATCCGCCTTTCCAAGTCTTAGCTGCTGCACAATCTCGTTGAACTTCTCGACGATCTTGTCCGCAGCCTGCTTATACTCCTTGACGTCGTACATCGGCACTGAAATGTCCTCGTCCTCGACCGCAGGCGCGTTTTTAGATCCTTTCTTTGCGTCGCGTTTCGAGGCAGGTGTGTCGCTGGCCGAGGTGGACTTTTTCGAGGTCTTGGAGCGTTTGGCGAGCAGGATTGGGGAGGTTGAAAGCAGACGGGTCGGGTTCGCGAGCCATTGTCTTTGAGTACTGTTAGTTGCTAGTTCATGTATATCGATGAGAAGATATGCCTCGACCTACCTAGATTCAACCCTGAGCACCCGCGCGGTAGGCACCAGCAGCCGTGACGAAAAAGACCGGATAATCATCTCTATATATACACTACTTGTCTCAACACGAGCGAAGGCAGGACTGCGCAATTCTTACGTACAATTCTATACAGCCGTAGTTCCTCCCGACGAACATCAAGAAATTTTATGGAAAGATTGGAAGCGTAAGCTGAGGGGTTTGTGTACACGTGACGCTGGACGCGCAGATGTCGATCTTTAGATGATCGTCGAGGCTGCGATCGAGCGCCGGCTTGAGTCTACGTGTTGTTGTTGTTAGTTGTAAAATTGTGATGAGCAAGAACGAGGGGGGACGCGGGGGTGGATAGGAAGGGACGACGGTGTTGGGAAGGTGGCGATAAAACCCCGGCCCGAGACCTCCCGAAAACTTCCGGTCTCGCGTCGAAAATAAATAAACCTGAAACTGCAAAAAAGAACAAAGACAAAGAAAAGGAATATGAAAAATAAAAGAAGGAAAAAAGGAACGTGGCGACAGCGCCATTCGCATTCCCGCCGACAAAAAATAAAATAACCCACGACGAACGCGGCGAGGCGGAGTGGCGACTGGCACGTCGTCGCGCGAGTTTAAACGCTCGCTCGCTCGGAGGTCGGGCGGAGTCGGATCACGGATCGAAAATAAGGCGAGAAAAGTAAATATATTGGAGCAGATGGGTATAAATAAATGGGGTCGGTGGCCCGGGGTTTGCTGCAGAGGCGGATAGTGTCTTTGTGCATACTGCAGTACATGGTGGTTGAGAGGAAACAGCACGTTCTTTTTCTTTATATATGATGCGACAGAGTAATTTGAATAACCTGCTCACGACGCTGAAGAGCAGTTGTCTACGGCAAAAAGCAATTTGCAGAAGCAGTCGCTGTGTCCGGATGAACCTGCGACAGCAGCATCCACGGGGGTATTCTGCGCCCGCGATGGCGTTGAAGCGGGAGACGCAGAGCACAGGAGAGATCAGTGAGAGTTTGAAAAAGACCAAAGAGAGGCTTTTGTATTCTTTGCTGCCGATGGAGATCATGATTGCTGGGTGAGTACTTCTTCGTGCACGTTTGAGTCGGTTGAATGATGAGAGCAGTGGTGCTAACGATGAGACGATAGAATGCTTTCGATAATACGAACAACGGTCGGGTTGAAGATCCGGGGGAGTATAATCTCTGCCGCGTACTGCTACTATTATTTCGGAGAAGTGCCGTGCTTGGGATTGCTGGAGCGGTTGGGATGTGTTGAACGAGCCGCTGAGGAGGAGGAGGAGGAGGAGGAGGAAGTCGAGTGATCAGGAGGTAGAGGTTGCATTTGAAAAGTATGATGGAGTATAGACGATTGCATAGAGGGGTATCATAGATAGATAGATATAGACAGCATTGGCAGATAGAGATAAATAGAGATAAAGAATAGATAGTAAGGTCACATAGATATGACCGTTATCCAATATAACCACCGGCAAACGGCCACTTTAACAGAAATAAAGATCGCTAGATCACTCTAAACCCCATATCCACCACAGCCACACCACCCAACCCAGCAGAAACCACACGCGAGACCGTCCCGTGTCCTGATATCTGGTCGAAAGAAAGCGAAAAACGTGAGCGATGCGCGAGCTGCTCGGCGGGCGGCGGCCGCGGCGGCTCGGGTTTTAAGCTTTCAAGGGTCGGAAACGAGCGCCGCACGCTGCCGAGGTAGAGAATGGCTCTGTACTCTGCGCCTGCTTCTTTGTCTTTTGCCTTTCGACTGTGTTCTTTGACTGATGACGAGGGGTTTGGCTGCGGTGTTGACGGTATGTGCTTGATATGTGCGGGATACGAGATAATGGGTTCTGATACGCTATCTGTGAGGGGCGCAGACTACTCCGCTGCCTCTAAACGAGCGACGAGCGACTGCCCGCCGATCTGGATATTGGTGAGAAAACGTCCAATGTCTCGCATGAGAACCTGGATACCAAAGCCATGTTACGAAACTCGCGTAGCGGGCCGAGATATCTCATAGTGCAGATACTGACTGTTATTGTCATAGTGTGCCGCAGAGTCCCCACATAACCAGTACCGCGTCTGCGCACCGCGACGTTTACGGGCAGATTATAATGTCCTCAGAACACGAACGCAGATCTTTTCGGGATAGACTTAGCGCTACTTCATATCTCTAGCACGTTTTGATATGCAGAACAGAGCATGCGTGAGCGTTAGCTGCGGGGGCTGGCTGGGTTTCCTCTTCATCGACTCTGTGGTGAACGGCCAACGCTCTGCTGCTGTTGCTGCTGTGACGAGTCGGTATGACCTCTTAGCGATGCTCAGGTGTCGTAATATGAGTGGATTATTTGGATCAGCAGGGTTGCAACGGGCAGGGTGCAGCGGTGTCGGAGTCGACCTCGACTCGGGCGGGGGCCATCCCATGCCAGGTTAAAAACACGATCTGCAAACTGTTGCTTGCTCTTTCCTCTTCCTGACGAATGATAAGCGTCGGGTCGCGGCGAGAATGGGACGGATGAGCGGCAAGGAAACGGTCTGGGAAGGTTTGCGCGCAGGTCGTGCTCAGGCTAGACGTTTTGTCCCCTTTGCGCGTCGGCCGGCCGTCGAGCTTGGTGGGCGCGAAGGTATCTCGCCTGGCGGTCTGAAGGATTCGGACTAATGCGGGCGGTAGGAAAGCTTGGTAGAGAGGGAGTTTCAAGACATGAATAGGCTTTAGAAGTTGACTGGATGTCAAGTGTTAAGCGACGATGTCGATGTGCCAGAACAGTGGGTCGGGAGCAGGACAAAGAGGAGGCGAGCAAATTGAGACAGAACGAATAGAAAACCTAGAGAGAATGTAAATGAATTAAGAACGGCCACGGGCGTAAAAGAGAGGCGGGAGCGCGCTGACCTGCCGTAGTTGCGCTGGGATGGGTTTGATCGGCGTGAAGCTCGGCGCAGATGTTGTTTCGCGAGATCTTCCCCTATTTCGCAAGTAGTCTGGGCATGGTCCGAGGGATCAAAGTGGAAGGCTTACTGTGTTTGATGAAATAACTGTTCATGTAAGTATGGGCTGATGGGAGAGCAGCGGGCATGAGTCTCAGGTAGGGGGGATAGTTGGTCAAACAGAGGTGCGTGCTGCTAGCGGGCGGGTCGTGTGCAGAGCGAGGATGGATACGAGCCGGACGCGCTGTCAGCGAGCACGGTCGGTTACGGATTAGGGTGCGCTACAGCGGGTGATCATTTTTGGGTTTTGGTAGTTCTGTTTGCTATTCTGGGTGGTGGGTTCTTTGGATCTGCGCGGGGGAGAAGGCGCTAGTGGGCATGGGATGGTCTGCTGGACTTGCGGACGGGCGGACGTACGAGGGCGGACGTACGAAGGCGGGCGGCGGATGGGTTGTCTAGGATAGGCAATAGTTGGGCTTCGAGTGGGTGTAGAGGAGGACATTGAGGGATTTAGCTATGAGAAATACAGAGTCGAATGGTCGGCGAGGACGATCAGGGATGTCGAGAGGAAGGAGAGGCGGAAGCAAGAGTGGCGATGAGGAGGCAGATCAGGTGGGAGCATTCGATCTTTAGGGTTTAGAATTTCGCTTTCTGTTTTCTTGTTCTTTCGCGGCGTGAAGCCTTTTAGAAATGTGACAGGTCCGTTCGAGAACAAGTCTTTTCGGAGATGAAGTGAGAGAATAGGAGCGCGGGCGGGGTGAATTGCGGTCGAGAAGGCGTAGAAGAGGTGGTCACGGGAGGCAAAGAGGAGAAAAGTAGGCGAAAGCCGACAGAGGGCAGAGGAAGGGACTGGATAGAGTTGGGGGAAAAGCACGTGAGTAATTGAGTTTGTGGCCAAGATTGTGGTTTCTCGAATCATGGTAGGCATCTGTGCGCAGATATGTCAGTTTGTCAGGCGGCTTAGGATGGATGATGAGATAGAGATAGAGATAGGAGTAGAGAGGAGAGAGGAGGAGAGGGACTTGGAGAGTAGAGAGAGGGAGTGGAGAGGAGAAGAGAGAGATGGTGGATCCAGAAGGAGAAGGTCGAAGAGAGCAATGCACGCACTGATTCCTATGTTTCTATTATCTCATCGTCTTTTTCTTTCTCTTTTCTTTTGTTTTCTTTCTAGTTTTCATTCGCATATTTGATATTTGCTGGTTATTATTAGACCTGCGCAGATAAAGAAGCCGAAGAAGGCATTCGAGAACGGGAAAAGATAAGGTTTTGAAGGCAAAGAGACAGGAGAAGCAGAGATGGCGTGTTTTTAACATGGCGTGTTTTTTTTCACCGCCCCGCTCTCTGCTGCCACCCTGATCCACGGCAGCCTGTCTTGTTTTCTTTTGGTATTGTGATGTGTTTAGCTGTTTAGTTGTTTGATGTTATTTGTTTGTTTTGTTGGCTGTATTTTATTATTAAAAAAAACAGAGCACAAACATCGTACAGACCAGTAAAGAAAGGTACTTAGTAAGCAAATAAGGTTCATAGGCGAGAGTCGGGTTCTGGTATTCCAGCAGAGCAAATGCAGGGTGCTTGGCTATAATCTCGCTCTCTTAGTCGTCGCTCGGTGCGGGCGAGAGTGGCGACGGCGCGAGAAGATCGTCGAGCGAGCCGGATGCAAGCCTTGCAAGCCTGAGAGGCGAATATGAAAGGCGGACATGAACCTTAGCAGGAGGAGCTGCAGGATCTTTTATGCGCAGCTGGCCTGATCTGCGCCAGTTGAGCTGGACATCGTAGTGGACGCTGGCGATAGCAATAGACAAGAGATGAGCATCTGTATCAGTAGACCTCAGCAAAGTCATCAAACAGCGAGGATCTGCAGAGGACAATGACTTGCACTCAACACCACCACTTCCTCAGTATACACCAGTTAATATCCATCCAGTCATCCATTCCTGTCGGTGGCCGCGGTCGAAAAAGCAACGGGATCTGTGTCGCACATGGCTGAGCTTCCGAGATCATGTGGCTGGTGAATTCTCGACGCGGCGGTGCAACGGCGGTACCGAGTCCCGAACCTTCTTGACGAGCCCAGCACCGCGACGCGCGCCGCACGCATAAAAGATTAAAGGTCGAAAGAGGAAAATAAAAAAATAAAAATAAAAATAAAAATCCGGCGATGATGTTACGAAGCCCACCGGGCTCTGTGCCGTAGCTGACCTGGCCCACCTGCATATATTCCTCGCCCCTCCTCCTCTGCTTGTCGTCGACCCCTCTGCCTCTGCTTCCTACCTCCTCTCCGCACTCTTCTTCCACTTCCTCCCTCCCCCCTCCCTCCCCCACTCACATCCTCTGCGCTCCTCCCGCCCCCGTCGGCGCCAACCGCTGCCCAGCTCACCCTCCGCCATCCACCACCACGGCCTCCACACTCCTCCGCGCCCCGGCGCCCATGAGCGCTTTCTCCTCCGCGTCTGCCCTCTCTCAGCTGCAGCCCCACCACCGCCGCGGTCCATGGTCTGCCGCCGAGGACGCCCGTCTGCTGGCCCTCATCGAGCGCCACGGCCCTACAAACTGGGTCCGCATCGCCCAACTCCTCGGCACCCGCTCCGCAAAGCAGTGCCGCGAGCGCTACCATCAGAACCTCAAGCCCTCGCTCAACCACGCGCCCATCTCCGCCGAAGAGGGTCAGCTGATTGAAGCCCTCGTCGCCCAGCTCGGCAAGAAGTGGGCCGAGATCGCGCGCCATCTCGCGGGCAGGTCCGACAATGCGGTCAAGAACTGGTGGAACGGCGGCGTCTCGCGACGGCGTCGCGGCTCGCAGGATCGCGAGCCAAGCGCAGAGTCACCCTCCCAGCTCTACGCGTCGACCTCGCCCGCGTCCGCCCAGCAACACCCACCGCCGCTCTCGTCTTCCTCCACGTCCTCGTCCGCGCCGCTGATGGCCAGCTCCAGCAGCATCTCCTCGCCTGATTCGTTAGCTGCCACCTCGCGCGACGACGTCGTTTCCTACGCATCCTCGTCCATCTACGCACCCTACGGCCACCCCGCGTCGTCGTATGCCAATTCGTCTGCGCAGTACACGAGCTATTCGGCACCTATTTCTGACGATGCCGCGGCTGACTTTTATCGAGCGTACCCACAGCAACAACAACAACAACAACAACAGCAGCAGCAGCAGCAGCAGCCGTACTCCACCGCCATCGCCTACCCGCCCCAGTCCGTCCCTCAGTCTGTCCCCGCATACGGCGCTCAGCAGCAGTATGCCGCCTTTGTCCCCCAGCAGAGCCAGTACGCGCATCCTCAGCAGCAGCAGCAGCGGCAACAAACATACGCAATGCAGTCCTCTATCGCCTACCTGCCTTCGCAGCACCAATACGCGCTGCAACAGGCGCCCCAAGAAAGCAACCCAGCCAGCAGCAATATTCAACTGAACAGCAGCATGCAGCGCATGAACGGATACCAGCCGGCGATGGCGTCTATCGAGAGTCAATACCGCAGTTCGATGACGGGTCTGATTGACGATGGTCTGCAGGGCTTGATGGTGCAGCCCTTGCCGCGGCAGGATACAGCAGCATACCTGCCGTACCGGACGACAAGCGAGGCGAGTTATTTACGGCACCAGAACCCCGAGGCGGCGGCAGTGCAAGCGCAGTACGAGGCGTACGTCGCGAGCGTGCAGCGGCGGATTGCGGCGGGCGAGGTCATTGACGAGGAGGAGGAGCAGAAGCTGCGGGATCAGAGGATGAATATCAACCGGCTTCTGATGTGATGTGAGAGATAAGTATATATGTATATTGCGAACGGAGTAGGCGTTTGGTGATTTCTGATGCACTGCGAGTGTCGATTGTGCTGTTTACCTGTTTTTGGATGTTCCTGTACATTATTCTGAGTATTTCCGGTCTGTGAATGTAATTAATTGCCCATATGGAAGCTGCTCCGCGAGTACTCGGCCAAGGTTTAGCGCTGGAACTCAAACTTAGGGCGCAGAACCTTATCAGGCACTAGCGCGATGCTAAGAAGTGGTGCCATAATCAACCCACCGCCGGGTGGGCTGGCATAGTTAAGGTTCGGGATAAGGTTGGCGCTAGCACCCGCAGAGTTCTGTTTGCCCACTCGCGCACGCCTTCGCCTCGCGAGCGGTGGTTTCCAGGCCGGTGGAGGAGGAGCAGGCCCCGGGCGGGCTCGCTAAATCGCGGTCGTCGAGTGTCATAACCACCCCGGAGTAAGCGATGCGCAACCGTGGCCGCGTTCAGAGCCTTGTCCGTCGTCAATTGCCCTGGTTCGGGGCCGGCCTGCTGCGCTCTGGCTGAAATGAACCAGATCCATACTCAATCGCTGATAACGCAGCTACCAAGATGCAGCCTGCACACTAGCCAGCGCTGCCTCTGCAAAATACTGCGGTGCTAACCTGTAGCAGACAAGCCTGTCTCTCGCGCTATAAATCCTGCATTTCTATCGCGCTCTGCGTTCGCTCGACCGCCGCTGCTTCTCAACGCTCGTCTACCTGCCTCCTTTGGGTTTGTGTAGTCCTTCGCCTCCTGTCTTTAGCCCTCCTCCTCCTCCTCCTCCCCTCGCCGTTCCAACGGCCCGAAAGATAAAACCCCCCCTCGCCACTACACCACGCCGGATCAGAGCAACTCTTCAGAACACCCCGCGCCCTCTTTTCTTTTCCTCTTTCTTCTCCTCCTCTTTAGCTTTATGCTCCCTTTGTATTCGTAGCGACGATGGTCTTCTCGATGGCGCGCCGGCCGACAACAGAGTTTGGCTAGCGTGTCGCTCGCTCCATCACATCAACCGCCGCCCTCGCCAGTCTTCTCTGTCTGCGTGCGCGTGCGTGTGTGTGGTGCCGCCTGCCTGCGTGCGGCCCAGCGCGCCGGCATCGTTCTGTCGCTCTACACTATGCGTTGACTACTCTACGCCACTACCCTCTCTGTCTCTTTCATGGCACTCTGTCATAGCAGCGGATAAACGAAGCCACCGTTCCTGTAATTAACACCACCACCACTGCCATCAGCCTGTCTTCACGCGACGCGGGCGAGCAGCAATCGGAATACGAGCCGGGACAGATATCCGAGCGAGATCCGAGCGAAATTTGAAACCCGAGCTGCTGCAACATCTTGCAAAACTCTCCTCCACGTCTCCCTCCTTGCTTGCGTCCGCTTTTGGGGGGTCCAACGTCGGCGGGCGTAGAAGAATTCTGTTTCTGCTTCTGCTTCTGTCGTAGGTGATGGATGGAGAGCGAAGGGTGCGGAGGACGGGGGGCACTAAGCTATATTTGGCTTAGCGCTGCTTTTGTTTTTTCCTACTGCGAATGCGTTCTTTCTGTGTATTTTTTAGTAAGTAAAGATCACTAGGCAAGTACGTGGTGGATATTCCGGATGAATTTTTAGAAAGAGCAAACGGGTGCAACCAAAGTCATACTAGTATGGTCATAACAGTATGGGTCTGCAAAGGTAGCACTGTAGCACTAGATGGACAGGATAAGCGAGTTATGATAAGCGAGTGCGATTGTTGCATCGTTGTGAAGAGACCGTTGATTGCTGTTATAAAATTCGGCTTTTCAGATGGTGTTCAGATTTGATTAGCTGGAGTTGCGAGTGATCCTCTGTTGAGTTTTCAAAGTGGTGAAAGCTCTTCTCAAGAGATGCTATGAACCCCAAAGTTCCAAATTATAACCTCGTCCTCGTCTATAACCTAGCTCCATAAAATCTTTAAAATCTTTATAACGGAAAACCAGAAAACCAGTGAGACTGATAACGTCGTCAGTCTATAATGTCCCTGACCCTGTCCTGTCCTGTTCTGTCGTATCTTGTCTCGTTTAATGAAGCATCCAACGACCTGGTAAATGAACCCACGAGGAAAACTAAAAATGTCCACGCGTCTGGGCCCTGGACGTATCGTTTGCGATTTCCTTTCTGCTCGTTTTTTGTTATGGTATTATATTAATGCGTCTTTTTGAGAGAAGAAATAAGTAGGTGTTTTCGGGCGAGACGAGACGGCGGGATCAGATTAGAGTATACGTATGCAGAACGACACGAGGTGCTATAAGCAAAGAGCAGCGCATTAGACAAATTGTCTAAATCCGACAACAGAAAAATTCGTACCGGTTCAATTTATCTTCTATGGAACGAAATGAACTGCCGTTATTCTCTCCATGGCTTGACAAAGGTAGGTGCGCAGGTATCTTCGCCGTCGATGCTCTCAGCAGCACTCTTCAGCAGGTTCATTCCAATAGGGCTTCAATCACAGTTTCGTCCAGCAAATTCCACGCTCCGTACGCGCCCGACGCTAAGATAAGCACTTTGTCGAGCAACAATTGGATGGAGAAAAAGCCAGAATAAGAGAATCGAGCAAGGGCCAGTTGGGTGGTCTGTCGTGGCGCAGGATCTAGATAAGCAAGGTTTGGGTGGGTGGATTAGTCGAGGTTCAATCTAATTGCCTGATTAGGTCTGTAATAAAGCTGAGAAGATGACAGTATATCTTTCAAGGATTTTTTGAATATATATATTTTATATTTTTATTTTTCTACTTACGCCTCTATTTATACTGTTATATTTAAGCCTCTCCCATTTACTTTCTCACAGCAATCTCAATATCTGAGTCGCTGTTCGAATACAGTCCCAATGCGATCTTATTCTTTACCGAGAAAATAAGGTATGAATATGAAAATAAAAAGATTGAAAAAGGAGAAAGTGTGGGAAGTTGTGGAAAAAGCGCGGGTGCGAAGTATTTGAGGAATGGATGGAATAAGGTGGTCTGCATTTCCGGATTAGGGTGTGAGGACTGAGTGCGTGTTTCTGTTGAGTGGGATTTAAATTCTATTCCTATTTTTATTTTTATTTTTATTTTTGTATTTTAGTTCAGTATTTCTGCAAGCAGTTCGCGACTAGAAGTAGATTTACGAAATCGATTGAATGATCCGGATCTTTATCTTCACCCATATTGGCCAATATAGCATAGCTTAATGCGCTTTAAGTCTAATATAATCGAGACCTGGTCAACGCCCAACAAACCTGCACTTGCTCGACACTATTTTTGCCTAAATCCTGTGTTTTGTGCCCTACGCATGCCGGCTAATGTCAGCTAGCAGCTAGCGGCAGCCCTAGCGACGATGCGGAAATACGGCTGCTACCGACGGCCGAATTTCCATCTACGCAGCGAAAGTCAAAACCAGTAACTTCTTCCTAGCGATGGTGAAGTCGGCGAGCGCAGCAGATAAACCTAAACAGGGCCGGGCCAAGGCAGTCCGCGGCCAGGATGGACATGCGCGCTGCCTGCGAGAAAACGCTATTCGCGCTATCGTCTGCAGGAAGATGCTGTTGCTCGCAAGATGCGGTGCGTCAGCCGCTGTGACCACCTTCTCTTCGCTTCCTTTTCGTACGCGCGTGCGCATGCGTCCTGCTGCTATTTCTGTCGTGTTTGTTTATCGTCCATGCGGGTTGTCTGGCTTTTCTGCGTTTACTAGATACTGGACGGGAGGTGATGGGATCGTATCCAGGTGGTGTATGCAGGAGTTGATAGCTATCGGTCAGCATGCCGTGCATAAGTAAACCGCTGCCAGGCCGTCTAATCTGTCCCCCTCCCCTCCTCGCCATCTGCCTGTCTCTAGTTCGATGTTTACTCGTTAAACAGAGTAGAAATTCTTGATCAATAGCAAAAGACCACCAGACCTCAGTCACCTTATCTCTCACCGATAAAACTGCTGTCTGGACGCTCGTGTGCGAATACTCCCATCGTTCCAAAAAGATGGACCCGAGCTGTCGCTTGCAAATCCTATTCTCCCCCCTTCGTAGACACGTGGGATAA